ATTTGTCTGATCTTGCTAGAGCTAGTTTACCTCATAATGTTTTCTGTAATTTCAAAGATTCATTAAAAGTTAAATTAAACAAAGTTTTCAGACAGATAAAGGGTGTTAAATGTCGAAAATTTAATCAGTTGTTGATCAAGTCTAACAATAGTTCTAAATTTTGTGATGATAGTACAAAGTGGCTTGTTAATTTAACATCGGTGGATGTTCCTGAGGAAGTTGCTACTTTGCTTTCCCTTGGTTCTAAGTTCCACTTACCAGTCAATAATACCAATTTCGTTAGAGCTAAAATTGCAAATATCATTACTAATTATATGGTTGCTGGCACAACGTGTGATGGGTTGCATCTTCGTTTGGTTAACATGTTAAAGAAAACAAAAACTTTTCTTAAGGATAATCCTTCATTGATGATTTTCAAAGCTGACAAAGGTGCCACCATTGTTGTCCTTCACAAAGATGATTACTTAATTAAGGCCAAAGATATGTTAAGTGACACTAATGTCTACAAGGTTCTTAATAACACCTCGTTGATCTCTGTACAAAACAAAATCAATAATTTTGTTAAATTACTTTATGAAAAGAAGTACATTAACATCGGTGAAAAGAGACAACTTACAACTAATAACTCAATCCTTTCTGAAGCATACCTTTTGCCGAAAATACATAAGGAGGAGACACCTTTGAGGATGATCATATCATCGATTGGTGCGGCATCGTACACCTTGTCAGGTCACATTGCTACAATTTTGGGTTCAACTTTTAACAATATAGAACTAACTACACCATTACCAACACCTTTCAATTTGTGGATGAATTTAGGAGCTATAGCCTTTCTCGGGATCACATATTAATATCTTTAGATGTTGTTAGCCTTTTTATTGTCATTCCGTTGAATTTGATCAACAGAATTGTGGAAGAAAAATGGCATTTAATTGCTGATCATTGATCATGGGACAAAAACACTTTTTTGCTTGGCTTGAAACTTATTTTTGATACTTCAATTTTCATCTTTGATAATGTAATTTACCATCAAATAGAGGGCTCTAAAATATCGCCGGTTCTGGCTCTGATGGTGATGTATTTCGCGTTGGATAAGATTTGGGTTGATAACAACTCGGATTTTTGCATCAGTTTTATCAAAAAAGTATGTTGATGATTTGATCATTGGAATACATAAAAATGATATTTAACAGTTTTTATCCTAGCATTCAGTTCAGAATTGAGATCGAAAAAGACAACTGTATTTCTTTCCTAGACACGAAAATGATAAGAAATGAAAATAACATCATTCAATTTGACTGGTTTGTCAAACCAACGTACTCGGGACGCTATTTGAATTATTTCTCAAATCACAATTTAAAACATAAAATTTCCACCGTTCTTGGCATGAAGAACAAAATCTCAATTTCCTTAGAAGAAATTTTGTCAACAATGGTTATCCTCTTAAACTGGTCAACAAACATTTGTTTTCAACGTATTCACATAATAACATCAACCAGATCAGTTTAACTAGTCCTAAATTAATTAATACAGAGCGTTTCACTTATAAAAAGCTTCCATACATAGGAAGGTTAAGCGACCAGTTAAAGAAAACGTTGAATAACATAAGGATCATTGATTGTTATGATAACAAATTAGGAAACCATTTTACTAAACTTAAGGATAGGACTGATGAGAATTTTAGATCCAACTTGATTTACTGTGTTTCATGCAAGGGTTGTGATGGAAAGTATGTTGGTCAGACCAGTCAGTGGTTGAAGTATAGAATCTAAAACATGCAATTGACTGTACACTGGAAAAGTCCAGTAATGCTTTATCCCATTATGTACATCTTGAATTTTTGGGGTTTGTGTTCTCTCTCTAGAAAACAAGTTTTCCCTTTTTACATTGACCGTCGTGCCTCTTGCGTCTACTTGTTCTACGTTGTATTATTAAGTTTTTTGAGTTTTTAATGGTTCATTACTCAATTTTGATTGTTTTAAAATGTTTAACATGTTTTTGATCAATTTAATTTTGACGAGTTCTGAGATTTTACGCCACTTCGAGTTACAAGTAAGTTGTATTTTTTGCTTCTTAAATTGGTTGCTTGACTTATGTCTTTTCTTTGTAAAATCTTTTAGCAATAAAATGTTCTGAAGAAGATTGTAATCAACAATCGAAATATTATCTATTTTAAAAAGTTGTTTTACTTTTAATCCTGCTGACCGAAAATCCGATTAATTGGTTGCTTTTTCTACTTGATTTAAATAATCTTCGTAGACAAAAGGGTATGATGGAGCTGCATCAATGAGCAGAAAGTTTAATGAAGTACAAGGGGTATAATAGAAAATGCATACAATTCTTTTAATACATCAAAGCGTCAAACTGTCTTAACCGAAAAAATCAATGAGTTAAATTTCACATCAAGCCAAGGCAAATTGAAACAACTGTGTCCCACGCGATGGATTCAACAAGATTCCATTGTTGTAATGAACGAAATGTTAGAGTCCGTAGTTTCTACTCGTTATCTGAAGCAACATTGTTGAAAAATTCTTTGATTTCTGGAAAACTAAAGGAAACTAGTTGATGTGGAATATATTTGGAGAACAATGAAAAGACCAACATTTGTACTTAGATAAAGAAATAGAGCGAATTTTGAAACAAAAACTACAGCAGAATATTACAAACTATCAGTTTTCATTCCATTCTTAGACAATGTCATAATACAATTAGATGACAGATATATTGCACACAAAGATATGTTAGTAGCCTTTGGATGTTTAGTTCCATCACAAGAAAAAATTAAAAATTTAGAAGGGCAACTAGGGTAAAACGCCAGTAATTGACCGTTTTTGTAAAAAAAAATGTAAAAAATAAGGTTTTAAGGAATATCTAAAAAAATAAATCTGTCCACAAATAGCCACCAGTCTCTTCTCCACCTCCTACTACGCAAAAAGTCTACGACCATACCGTTCTTGTTGTTTAATTTGCGCTAACTGCCGCGCTATTCACATCGTGCTAAAAATGGTAATTTTTATGTTTAGAAATTCGCCTAAACAACGTACTATTCAGCCGTTTTTGCAAGTATGGTGTTTTTTTTTTGTTTGCCAGTGATCTAATAATGTTTTCTAGTGGTTGTATTTAAAAATTACCGCTTTAATTAATTATTTGTGAAAATAAAGGCAGTTAAAGACTAGTAGTTCTAAATTTAATTAAAAATTAGTGTTTGACCAAACGGTCAAATACTAGACGAATTGGTTGTTGTATAATCTCACAAGTATTTATATTTGATTAATAAAATGGAAAAATGTGTAATACCTGCTTTAAAACTTATATCTTCCTGTTTAAATTGATTAGTATTTGACCAAAACTTTTATACTTTAAAAGTAAGATACAATCAGTTTAAATATGCGGTCAATTACTGATTCTTCTTTTGGTCATTTATAGGACATAAACACGTCAAACACTGAGTTTTTTGACCGATTTTAAATTTTATAAATATTTAAGCCTAATATAAATATCAGTGTAAATATTTGGTTCTTTTCTATTTATTTAAGCCTTTTTTATAACAATAAAAGTAATTGAACACACTTAAACAGTAATCAATCTGTAAAATTAAAAGGATAAAAGGTTGGTCAAACACTGACTCTTATAGTGGTCAATTATTATCAAAAATGGAAAATCTATATCGAAAATTTAGCAAATATGAATCAGGTCAACTTTTTTCAGTACCAATGTGACAACGAAGCCTAAGTTTAAATATAGTGAAGAAGATCTTCAAAAGGCTTTCGACGCAAGAAGTAGGGGTTTATCTTATGAAAAAGCAGCCAAGATGTTTAATGTACCAAAGTCAACTTTTATTTATAAAGAAAAAGGAAAAACACCAATGCAATTTGAAAATGAGCCCACCAGCATTTTTAAATTCTGATGAAGAAATACTACTGGTTGAATAGTTGTTTCATTCAAGCAGTCCTGTTACAAAAACCCAGTTGGAAAACACAAAATTTGGGTGAAAAGGTAAGTCAAGCAAAATGTTGCTCCATTTAAAGAGTCAAAAATATACATAATATAAACATTTTTTTGTAAACAAAATAGTATGGAAAAATAATGAAAATGAATATTATATTAAGAATCGGTCAAACATTTACGGTTTTAAGGTCAAAGACTAGATATTATTGGTCAAATAATGTAATCAAAGTGGTCAAACACTGAATGCGAAATACAGTTATTCTTTTTAATTTTAAAAATATATTACTTTATGATGTTATATTTTATATGTAAGGTAAGTAACTTTAAATGAATCAGATGTGTATTTGATCATATTTTGATCATTTTATGTAAAGGCAGAGCGATCTACAAGAAAAATAATATGACTCGGTCAAACACTGACATTAAAATATCCTTAACAGGTCCAACACTGGTGCGTTTACCCTATTAAAATTTGAACAGCTAATAGAATTTTATAAATATGATGTAGATAACATCTCAAAACCTGTTGCAGCTGGTGAATTTAAACTTTGGTACAGAAGATTTTACAATAGTTTATCAGAAGAATTTCCCAATTCTCCTTTAATTCAATTATCTTTCCGCATATTTATACGCTGTTGAAAATTTTGGCACCTTGTCAGTAAGTATAGCTACTCCAGAGAGAACATTTTCAACTCTAAAATTGTTGAAAACATATTTAAGAAATATTATAAGTGAGGATACATTAAATAGAATGACGCTATTCTTTTGCGTCATTCAATAAAATGACAGCAAAAAATATGTTGCAGTGAAGGCGAAACACGTCAATTTATCCCAAAATAGATATTATATAAACAATTTGTATTCTGACGTAAATTTATAACATAAAAATCACACGCCTTAAACCACTTTTTGTTGATGGAGTGGTGAACATCTGTGAGTTGAGCCGTAGAGAAATCTTACAAAAACAACTATAGACGTATTAAAATTTTACACAAAATTTAAATATTTACATTTAATTAATATTTTAATTACAATTAATATCTTTTTCTTACCTTATAACACTCCTCCTATCCAAAATTGTAACATCCAATTTAATCCTTTCAACATTTCCGTGAACTAACGGTTTTTCCTCTTCAATCTGTTCGTCCTGTAAAAGCGGAAGTTCGTCCTCTTGAACAACAATCGGTTCGGGAACATCTCGTTGTTTTTGATTTTCCTTGCTTCTAGCCCGGGCGTTGTTAATCTCGTGACACTCACATTTACAATCCTCCGGGTTCACGTAACTATAAACAACGTTGTCGTGAAGCACTGATTCCGGCACTTCGATGTTCCCCCGAGATGGAATCGTTTGTATTCGTTTCGGCGGTTTTCGCTTCTCAGGTATCTCTTCAAAATTAATCCACTCCTTTTGAATACCTTTCGGGGGTAAAGGAGGCGGTACACTTTCCGGCGGTTCTTGAGACGTCGTTGAAGATCTTCTTTGGGTAATTTTTTTTTCGGCGAATTCAGCCCAATTTGTATTGCTCGGTCTGCGCGGCGATTTAATGGAATCTTCACGTGGTAAAGAAATTTTTAATTTTTCGATTGTTTTTGTAACATTTTCGGCGATTTCTTCACAATAATCTTCTAAGCAACTTGGGTTAATTGGAGTTGTTGATCGTGGTCTTTCGATAGGACACACTTTCATTTCGAATGTTCCTCTTTGTTTAATTGGAACTATAGGAACGGCTACAGATCTTTCTTGTGGTAAAGTCGTTGGTATGTAAGGCAGTTCGTCTTCGAAAGAATCTTGAAGCATCACTAAACCTTTTCGTTCAATTTCAACTGGAAGTGTTCCAACTTTATCATCTTCTTGTTTATCTTTTTTTCCAAAATCAATCTCTGAATCACGTTCTGATTCGGATGAATAATGCTCGTCTTCATCGTTTAGGAGTTTTGATGGTCGTTTTTTTACACCTTTTTCTTTCTCTTTTAACACATCTTTATCGTTCTCTTTATCTTTTTTTATTTGAATATTTTCTTGATTAATTTCAGGTGTTTTCATAATACTTTGTTTTATTTCAACTTCAGCCATACTATGAACACTTTTACTTTGAACAATTTGACTTTCAATATTGACGCTTTGTTCAATAATCGATTTTTCTACTGAATAAGTTTCTATAGCGACCTCTTCAATTTTTTGTTTAGGTAATTTAGTTGTGAAAAGTTCGTTGGTGCTTCCAAGTCTTGTTGAGAAAACAACATTTTCACTACTAGTACTATTTTGGCGTAAATCTTCGATTTTTTTCGTCGATTCTTGAACACCCCCATTTTTTTGTATAGTTTCGTCTTTATTAATTATGTTTTCAATGACGGTTTCTTGGGAACCTTGACTCGAACTTCTTAAATCTTGTAGAAAAGCCTTTTGTTCGTAATAAGTCGGAGAATGCAGAGGAATTCGTATACTGTCCCCTTCTAAAGGAGTTTCGTGGTATTTCCCGGGCATTTCGCACCTTTCAGGTCTAAATTTGAATTCAACGTTCGACAAAGAACCAATTCCAATATCATCCGTTTCTCTCGCCTTTTCCACCGGTTTCTTCCCACTTCCTTTGAATAGCGAAAAAACATTCCTTTTTCCTTTACTATCGATACTTTCGGTAGATGAGGGTGCTAAAGATAAACTATTTTTATCTCTTTCTCTACTTTTCGATCTACTTCTTCGACGTTCGCGCAAATTCTCGCCGGCATCTTTAATTATACCCGATAAAGTGCTTTTTCTCCTCGTCGGAATTGTTGGAGATTCAGGACTGATTATCGCTTCTTTGCTTCTGAATAAGGAAGCGAAAGAACTTTTACGGGATAAAGACGGCGATGGACTTTTACTACTGCCAAATGGTTCTTTAAGAATGTGACGCGAAAATTTCGGGGAAGCACTCGGTGTACTAGAAATACTTCGTCCAGGTTCGGATCTAATCGTTTTTTCGCTTAAAGTAGGTGTGTTTGTATCGCTTAATTCCAAAGTGTCCGGTTTTTGAAACGAAGGATCGTTGTCGTCGTATAAATGATCTGGTTTTAATTTAATTCTTATGTATTTCGGATGGGTTTTATCCCCGGATGTTTCGTAACTAGTTGATGGTCTTTCTTGGGGTGATTTCGTCTTAGTTTGAGATGATTTTCTTTTGCTTGTGGGTGCTGATTTAATTTCGCGCAATTTTTGTTGTTGAACTTCCGGCGGATCTTCTGGAAGGGGGCCTTTTAATGGAATGTAAGTATACTCAATACCGCTAGCTGATAATATAGTTTTCGGTAATTTCGGTTTATCTACGTTGTTTGTAGGGGAAGGTTGCGGTTTATCTATAGTTATAGTAATAGAAGGTTTTTCTTTGCGAATTGGTTTGTCAGGAATTTTAATTTTAGGTGAAACGCTTATTCCTTCAGCTAAAATAGCTTTAGTTGGATCATGTTTTCGTGATAAAATAACCTTCTCAAGATCGTCAGGTTCTTGTTTGGTCCCTTGTTTCTGATCGGCTTTCTGTTCATTTTCATTTGGTTTCGTTCCGCAAAACGAAGTTTCCAACAACATTTTATGCGGAGAAGGCGATCGAGATAATCCTGATTGACCGGAAATAACCGAAAGGTGACTCGCGTTCGAAACTCTACTATGAGTCGAACCTTGACTTCCGATACTCGACAACCTCGAAGTACGGCCAGATATCGATAACATACATATTTCGGAGCTTTGCGAATCTTTCCTTTGTTGATTCGCCGTTTCTTCGACTTTTCCAACGACTTTTTGCTTTCCATCTTGAAAATCTAATTCTTCAGTTGAGGATCTAAGATCTAAAGCACCTTCTTCACGAAAACCTAATCCCAATTTAGCTCTAGCCGGATCGTGACCTTCAAACAATTCCCTCTCCGGAGTACTATCTCTGCTATCTTCATGTTGAGAACTACTACTCGCTCTAGATATGTCTATTCTAGGCGTGCTTGGAGTTAAACTCGACTTGGTTGTCGGTTGGGGTGTTGCCATCGCGCCACTCGCCCCAATCAGACTTATACCCGTATAAATGAATTGTGGAGACGCCGCCCTGTCTCCTAATGAAGCTGGAGTACTCGGTGTTACATCCTCGCGGATACCCGGAAGTCTTACAACTGAACCGGCATCGATTTTCTCTTCTGGACTGTCCACCTAAACACAAACAGAAAAAAGATTTGAATTAATCTCGATAAGTATCGATATTAATCTTGATAATGATCGAGATTAATTTTGTTCAAAAATAATAAAGTAGAAAAGAAGCAAAAAAATAAAAACAAAATGTAATAAAATAGAAGAGGCAATAATAATAAAAAAGAGAAGATTAAAAAGGGGCTACTGAAGCTACAGGATACGTACTTGTACTCTCACCTCGTCTGAGAGATCCTCGAAGGATGCAAAAGGAGCAGGGCCCATGCGTTTTTGTCGCCTGGATGGGACGCCATGACTTCCGGAAGATGTCATTTCTGTAGGTTTAAAGGGAAAGAATTTATAGCAGGTAATAAATTACGTACTATATTTTTGGTATAAAAGCGTTCTATATGATAAATCAAAATATGACGATTTATATCATATTACAAAGTTTAAAACTTTTTCAGCAGGCCAAAACTGCTTAAAAGAGATAAAATACCATTAAAAGTATTAAACTTGAAAAATTATGATTAAAAAACTTTTAATATGTAATTAAAGCGAAAAAGCACAGAGTCCGTTTAAAACAATCGATCGTTTCGTTGCTCAGGACGAAATGGATGGAGTCAAAGTAAATGTATATTAATAAATTAATTAAAAAGTTTTTCTTTTTCTGCGAAAATACATTTTATAAATTATTAATGTAGATATCAACCATTAAACGAATTAAACGTGTTTAATTACAGTTAGTCATGATGTTAAATTTATTTCGTTTTGTGTAAAATTATCGAAATGTAACAAAACCAGCTTACGACGATGTCAATGAAATCTTTTGTAAATCAAAGACTATCGGCATTTATAGCCAACATTTAAAAATTCATTCTTCATTGTCGAGCTTTGACGACAAATATTTAGATTGTACTGATTTGCTATAAAACAATTCAGATGATAGTGGCAGAACCGGGACAGATGATAAGTACTGGATCAGGTTGGATTGAAATTAATTCAATTCTGCTCCACAAACATTTCCATTCATGGGAACACTACATTTCTTCTATTAAAAGATGAGTACGATGTTTGGGCATATTCCAAAAGTTTTTTTGACATATTGGACATAATTGTAAATTAAACTAAAAAATATGCCGAACAGGGCATGGTAAAGAGATAATAATAGGTGACAAATACAAAAATAAACTTTATCTTTTCAGGTAATTCTGATCTTACTAGATTCTTTGCTGCATAAAGGAAGATAACACATAACTTGCATACATCTCCACAATAAGCTGGTTTTGTTACTTTACATAAAACAGATAGACATATACAGAACGATGCGAAAAAAAACAGAAAAGATCTTCCATCCGAACTCCAGAAAAAGAAACTAATAAACTAACAAAAGGACAAAGTATTGTTTTTGAAATAGGGAAGGTTATGGTTATGAAATATTCAAAAAAAAAAATACAGCCAAATGGACAAAGCAGGAAATATAATTGCAAATCCTAAAGAACGGCTTAGATCAACAACTTTTGTTTATAAACTATATGGTGGGAGGCAATCACATTTAGAATTAATCTTCTATAAAAATTAAAAAGAAATAAAAAAGTGACAGAGGGATCATATTTATTTTATTATTAATGATTCATATTATTATGTCCAAACAACCTTGATACTTGGCTTCTTAAGCTGGAATGAATCTTTGAGTAACGCTGCAGAGCTACGCAACAATTCAACTTGATTGAATTCTATATACGTGTATTCTCATATTGTCAACTGGTTATCTAACGTTTAACACATAGAGTTTGCATGTTTTTCATCTTTTCTTTGAAATGGAACGAGAAGTTTAGAAACATACTTTGTTTGACTACAAATTACAGAAACATACAAAGACTTGTTCCCTTTCTCATTCCTTTTCATTTTCCTTTTATAGTTGTTAGTAACACCGAAATGGTGATCTTGTTCTGAGATGAACAGATGTCAGAAAAACACATACAGTTCCTTTGTACTATAACTGATTTCTATCTTTTTATGAAATATACTTCGCTTTGACGTTTCTTTTTAGTACCTTCACTGCAGTCGTTTATAAAACACTTCTCCACTTGGTACTGCTGGAAAAGGTACATTTTGTTGAAAGTCAAAACTTCAGCCTTATTAATACGTATGGATTCTTAAATTTTTGAAATAAGTTCCTTATAAAATAACTTACATTTTCTTTAATTTCATTTTAAAGACATTAACAAAAGGTCCAAAAGGTTACTGGAAAGATAGCGTACATTTGCAATTTTCATCCTTGAGTTTGTTAGAAACTTCAGTAGAGAAGCTTTGTGCTCACCAACTTGCTTGGTAATATGATCTGGTATTTTGTTTTGTCCATTACTATGTTTACCACGATTATCCTTCAATACAGGAATTTTTTCATGTAGATATTCTACTAACTTTTTAAATCTAGGCTTTTCTAGTCCATAGAGCAAACAAAAAGATTCTTGCAAATATTTTTTCATCAATGTTTTATTTTATAATTTACCCTTATCTTCTTCTTTGCCATTGCATTAAAACTACTGAGTATACTAGCTTTAATATCGTCAATGATAACAGAAAAACGATTTCCGCTTAGTCCGTATGTATCCGGAATTGTCTTTTTTTGGCTTTCGTCTGTACATGACAAGAAGTTGAAGCCGATGTTGTATTTACATTGCATATAAGTCATGTTTCTCAACGTCGTTTTTTGGGATATAATCTAGATCGCTATCTGTTTCGCCCAAATGGCTTTTAGGAAATGACTTGGGTACACTCCTAACAAAAGCAAAGTGAGACAAACACAAACAACACAACTTCACAAAACTAGCATATCTTGTACTCGCCTGAACAAAGCAATACAACCAGCTATTGACTACCCATATGCAACATCAAACCACATCTAGTTTATGTTTCAGAAACATCATTGATTCTAAGTGAATAGGGTGAATTTGGTGTATAGTTTTGGCATTAAGAAATATTTAAATTTTTTAAATTGTACCCAACACTCTTCAAAAAGCTTTTTGCAAAAAAGTTGTTACGTATTAATTTGAGGTGAAGCAAATTACGAGTCTGACCACTATACTATAACTATCATATCATATGTATATCATATGTCTGAAAATGATCTACAGAAATTTTGGAGAAACTGAATGCCACTAAGGAAAAGATTCCTTAAAGATTTCAGAACAATTTTAAGAAGAGGCAAATATTTATATATTTTGGTCGAAAAACAAGAAAAACTTGATTGGATTAAAGATAAAAGAAGTAGATTAGATATCTAAAAAGCTACATTATTCAACTCTATCACTTTGTCAAAACTTTCACTATTTAATATCAATCTTAACTGATTCATGCATTGTCAGAAGTAAGCATAAACAAGTTCTAAGATGTGGTTTTTTATTTGGTGGCTGGATTTGTTTTAACACGCTGAGTTTAAATGCATTATGAATAATGCACTTCCTCAAATTCTGCTTCTTTGCTGATAAGCTTTAAGAATTCATCTGACGCTTTTATTACTATATCTTTATGAGGTGTCTTTGATTTCTTAGATTTAATCTCTTATTGGCGTTATGATATATTTGGTCTTACCTTGAACTACTGACCTATTGTTGTACTATTGTATTGTTTCTAGCTAGGTCATTTAGTCTTGAAGTGTTTCCCATCTATTACAACTAGATTCAAGAGGTGTGAAATTTCTTTTTCTTGGAATCTGATTGTAATTATGTTGTATTTATATCAGAATGTTATGGCTAAAATATTTCTTAAGATTTATCATTCCTCAATAACCCACATTTCTTGTTGTACTTTAACGACTTCAGGATTCTCCTAAGAAGGATCTTCTTTTTCATTACTGAATCATTTTCTTACCGTGTAAACTTTTATAAATGTTATCAATTGCTCGAGAAACTACATTACGTTGAAGCCTACTTCAGAAACTTTAGGATAATTGCATCTCTCATCTTGTGCTACTTGTTGTAGTGTATTAACTGCTTGGTTTCATAGTTTACCGTAGTCAATTTGGAACCATCGATCGAAGAATGTTTGTCAAACTTCCATAACATTCTTTGATATTTCGATCTTCTTTGAAGATACACTTTTTCGGTATCAACAGATAATACAACTTAGTATTTATGTCAGGAGTGTTCTTTTTATTTATTCTGCATGTCCAATAAACGCGTTTCTATAGCTAAAATACTAATCATTGCTAATGGTATTCAGATTATATCACATCGTCATATTTTGACGTTTTCATTTACTAGTATACGTTATTTATGACTTACCATTTACAGAAAAACTGTAGTTTAATGGAAAAAAATAAGAACTAAATTATGATAATCAACTAAAAATGCAAAATTCTTATCTACAACTAAATGTTTTTAATTAAATTCTTTCGTATTATAACCTAGTATATATAATAAAACTAGGGCAAAGTGGTCGACTATTTTTAGACCATTAAAATTGTCGTTTGGTAAGAAACTGGGGTAATTGTCTTCATTAATAATGAGAGATTTCGTGAAAAGATTAGCATTAGAAAGTTTTTAAATTTGTATATCAAAAATCACCTATTTTATATGATCATCTTTATAATAGAAAAAAGCTATAATACAATAAATATAAGCCCTATAGAAACCTTACAAAATGTAAATCGGAGATTATTGAATTCCCCTTCAAACAAAACGTATTTCCTTCTTTTTATTCATTCCCGTTATGACCGGTTTTTACAACTCAAAATTGTTTAACAATAACCATTCAATTTTTATGCTTTCAATAAATGTATTTTCTTATTGAATTTCTAACAGAATTGAAAGGAGACATATAATATTGGGTTGTAGACGATTACGTACCAGGTACAAACGAAATGCATGTCAATAAAATGCACGCCGATATTTCCGTTAAATACCTGCGCGTCGCGATGCCCTAACGAACAAGCTCGATCCTGTCTCCACCTCTTCAACTTCCGCCGCAACCTCGTTTTTTTACCTCCTTTCCTTTTACACACTCTACACACTACCAACCACACTACTATTACAAATCGATAAACTTGGTACAAAAGAAAACAACGTCTCTACCCATCAACACGTTTACGCAAGCGAATACAAATCGAACCCACTTTCAATCTACATCAAAGCAATATAGAAAATAACATTTAAATTAGCTTACCTGGACTTAATAAAGCTCCTTGTACAATTACATTTTTTTAAAATGTTAAGTTGGTAATTATTGAAGTGTTTCGTTTGTAGCCAGCCGCGTTGAACCAGTTCGAACTTGCACAATGTACTCGAAACGCGTAGCATCGCGGCTGGCCGTTGCGGCGGCCGTACTACGACGATATCAGCGAGACTGCGAGGGCGCTTCCGTAATAGTCAGTAGTAAGCGCAGAAGGGCGTCGCGACGCTCGAAACAGACCCCGTTTCCGGCCTGCACCGTGAGGTGGCGCAAACCAACCGGGGGAAACTGAATAATCAATAATTATTTATTGTACTATATGGGTTGGAAGCTCTGGATATTAACTTGGTCAATGACTTCTTAACGAGTTTAAGCGGGGGGAAACACGAAATGCGGTTATAACTTGTCATGATGTGTTCCAGTTTTTATGTAGAGATGTTTTTATTAAGGATATAGATAAAAGAATTCTCCATTTAATTTATTTTTGCGATAAATTTAAAGTTAGATTCATAAATATAAAGATTGATTTCGCTACTTAAAAAAAAATTAAGTATAAATAATTATTTACAAACTAAAAAAAAAAGGAAAATTAAGGTAAAGCTTACAAGTTAAAATCCTATTTATTCCTGTTATTATTTATTTTTTTTTTGTTTTTTTATTTATAGAATTTCCAAATCACAGTGTCTTATTTCGGGATGGTTTTTCTAAAAAATAAAATCAATTTTAACGACTATTTCTGTAGTACTAAATGAGTTATAAAAATTAGCGATTAATAATATATAATATTATGATTTAGAGTGTTCACATAGTATTCCTTCCTATTTTTAGAAGAGTAAAAATAAAGGTAGGGACGTTTGAGATACACAAGTCAATTTTACCTACGTCAAAGGGCTGTTATACTTCAATAGACAACCGTATCGAATTTCACCATACATACCAAGGATCCCAACAAAAGTTAATATTAAAGCAAATATCTAGTATCTGACACGACAGACGCAGAATACGTATTTTGAAGATAGTCGACATTCAATTCATCATCCAAAAAATTTAATGTGTAAGATGCATTTTTAAATAGTTACTATTAATGTAATCGGGTCACGAAATCCCACAAACCCTAATAGACACTACATTGTTATACATATGTATAACAAGATTGCGTTTGTGGTTTGATTACGTCCAACAAGGCATAACACATTCTATTTGGTCTCTCGTCAGGATGGTTTCATTAATGTAGTACATAAAGGTTCATAAACTGTATTCTATCATATGTTTTTGTTGTATTATTTTGCTGATACTTTTTATGTTTTTTTATCTGGGTTTTGGTGGTAAATTTTCTGTAATTTTAATTATTTACATCTTTTTGGAGATACGACTAGATTTTAAACAAAACCAGAAAGTAAGAAGCGTAAAACACTTATTATTAGGGAATGGCTAAATTTTTTTGTGGTAGAAGATTGGCTACCGGCGTCGGAATGAACGGCAGATATCTACGGTAGCTACAGTGCCAAAAAACAAGACGAACCTCTGCATATTTTATGTATTTACTGACGGTTTTGTCTATTGTGAATTCATCGTAATATAAATGTTGATCGGTTTGACCACTCCTTTCTATTGACCACTCTTATTAACATCCAAAACCGTTACTTCTCTCTAATGGTGCCGTAGAAACGATACTTTATGTGGCAATAACCACAAATTGGGTTCGTTCTAGTTATATTCAGGTGACTGGGTCTTTGCCAATTCTGGAATAAAAGGTAGCCTCCATAGGTTACACAGAATGTAGGACTAACCGGAGGGTGTAATTACTATTTAGACGTAATAGTAACTGACAAAAAACCTTTGATGACAGTTTGAACGCACTTATCGGCCATAGGACATCGTAATTAATGTCACAGTAGAATGAGACTACCACACTCTAGTTCTAATGTACTCCTAACTTTTTTTTTGAATGATTTATTCCGTATTAGCCTAAGAGGTAACACGATGGTAACACACGAGTCGAAGCTGTTTGCGTTCTGTAACGATCTGTGAAGGGAGTGGTGGATTAGGGCAGAAGTACTTCCTAAGAGTATGCATAAGGGACCAGTTGGCACCTAAGTGCTCTGTATAACATACGTACTCCACTAATCAACTCCTGCCACTAAGCATATCTCCTGCCAGAAAAATTGGTTTAAAGTAGTTAAAATCTTTCATACACGTTGCTCTCATAATTTAGATTGATCAGACTTATGAAATTTCACTCTCGCATGAACAACAGACGTTGAGCATTCATAGTTTTTATTTATTTATGAATGAATATAATAGTGACAAATAAATTAATATTAAAAAGCAAATTTTCATAATGTAAAACAGTCAAAAGCATTCCCTTGGGAATATCTTGCCAAAATTATTAAAGATGTAGAATATATTCCCTATTAAGTACAAAATATAGATAGAGATAGTCTTTTCTGGAAACTAATGCCAAGTTAAAAAGCATGTAGCTAAGTGTGAGCTGTTAAAGTCACTAACCTTATTATTTTGCTCCAACGTTTCAGGACATCGTACGTTGAAAACACTGATGATAAAATGAGCCTTATAGCCACGTTCAATGAATGACGCCAAACAAGAAGGTCTGAGTAACCGTTAATAAGTAGAAGAAGAGCTCAATTACAAATTGTATTAAACAACTTAGTGCTGAAAGATTTAAAATCGACAGCTTTAAATATGTATTGGAATAAGTAAAGTCATATGCAATTGACGTAAAACGACTTGATTTTCTGTTGAGTATTGAGCCAATGAGTAATGATTTTAATGAATAATTTAGTGAATATATGAACTAGAGTTTGCCCTTGAAATTCCATAGCTTTACTTCCAACTTAATTCCATTGAACATAATGCTAATGAAGAAAATGGTCAAGAAATTGAATTATTTTGTGAAATTCCAACATAAATTGACAATTTCTTACAGAGTTCGTTAACGGTTTTCAAAATGTCGGTATTATTTAAATGTCGGTCCAATTTGTCATTAAATTGCAATTGGTAATAAAAAAAAATTTTCTAATAAAATCATTTCTTTAAAAAAAACTGTAGTAGAAATTAATATTGAAAACTTTCTATGATAAATATATTCCCGAAATGCCTGATTTCATCAGCCCAATGGACAAAATTATGTGCATTAAATACATTACAATACGAAGTGAGAGGTCTTATTACTTATAAAGTGAGCAAGCATTACAATTTCTTGTATTATATGCACCAATATCGCAAAATCATTGATCCAATCTGCAAAATACATTTCTACTGATATGTCTTCAGATTGAGAAATGTACTTGATATTTTAGTTTTGAGTAAGTAGTCTTTCTATTGCAGAATACACATAAATTAACATCATTCATAAAATCCATTCTATGAATTAATTCTGCAGTAGTAAAGGAATAATACCTCCAAAGTGTTGATAATATTTTATTGATTTATGGCAGTATAGAGTTGGATTGAGTTAAGCTTTCTATGTATGGAGCGGAAACATGGAGTTGGAAGGAGCACAAGATGGTGGAGCAGATCCAGGAGAGATACTGGAGGTAGGTCTTAGGATTGAGTAGAGAAACTGCGAGATACAGGGTGTCAGATAAAAAACGCCCCAAGCTGTAACTCTGTCATTTACATTCCAATTTTCATGAGCGAGGTATCAAACGAAATGGTTTGATGACTGCTATGATTCATGCTACAAATAAAGTTTTTCCAACGCCATCTTCAATTTTAAACGATTGTTTTTTTGTTTTTGATCTTTTGTTTTTCAAATTGCTCCATATATTTTTCTTCACGTCATTGGAAATAGATAGACAATGCATCCATTTTGAATGTAATTTTAACAGAGAGAAGACACCTGTATATACAGGTTGTCACACAAAAACGCCGCAAGCTGTAACTCTCTCATTTACCTTCTGATTTTCATCAGAAGTCATTTGATTTTCATCAGAAGTCATCTGATTTTCATCATGTAACTCTGATTTTCATCAGAGTTACAGCTTGGGGCGTTTTTTATTTGACACCCTGTATATAGTGAGAGAGGAGTTGAAGCTGGAGAAGATGAGGGTAGAAGCAGGCAAAAGGGTGATAAAGTACGAGGATGGTCTGGAGCAGAGGAGCGACGTTATAATTTTGGGACTGTTGGAGGGAGATTAAGACTAGGGTGGAGAAGTATGAATAACATAAAGAAGAGAATGTTATATCAACGTAGGGTACTCAACAGAGGAAATACAAAGAAGGAGGAGAGAACCAAACTCAACCCAACTCCTTCCACAGCGTTGACCACTGTGGAAGGAGTTGGAAGGTAGAAATGGATACGTGAAAAAACAAGAACGTCGTGCTCAGGTGGAAGAGGGGAGATACAACAATTAGTATAAGATCTTAACGATGGAGGAAATTCCGTGGTATATGATGGACGAGGGTAGAAGGCAGGAAAAAAGTATGATTGCGCGATTTAGGTGCGGGAATGAAGGCAGTTTCGGTGTGACGATTTGGGGGAGGATGGTATAGAATGGAAGCGCTTGGATGGCAGAGATGATTAGGAGAGCAGGAGGAAGGGGCATTTGTCTATTATGTATTGTAGGTATTATGATTTTATTGTATACCTAAAGTGATATACTGGAAACTGGAAATAGTATACTGGAAACTACAGATGTTTCACAACAAGCTCCTGAAACTGATCTTGTTGCAGATTTAAGATTATCGAATATAGTATCTGATGTACTTTTTCTTCATCTCTGATCTTTATAATTCTTAATATGTTTATAAAATGATAAATATGGCAAAGTACAAAATTGATGATTTAATAATATTCAAACTAACGCATCTGTATGGAACTAACTGCTGAATCATATTCAAACGCATAGAGAGTAAAGTAAGAAAATCAGATAAAACCTTATAACTCAATTTTACAGAAACACCCTGACAGTCCAATTGACAAAACAAAATAGATTAAGCTTTAAAAATCGCTAATTTTTATAGTTCATCCTATAATATATAAAATCATATTATTTAACTTACCCTTAATTTCATTTCTATCCTATCTATTTCCCCACCCATCATATCAACTATCGTTTCCCCATGTTTCAACATAAATTCTTCTAACTGATCGATGTTTTGAAAACTTTTGACTTCCTAAAAAATAAAAAACATTCATATTTTTTTAAATTTCTTTTTTTTAAATTTGGATTTGTCACCTCTAACAAAACGTTGAGATCCTGTTTATCCAAATAAGCTCTTGTCAATTCCCTACCGTCAAAATCCAATTCTGCTTTATACCTAACTAAATAATTACCCATGTCGATCCCTTTAACGTCATGTATCGCCCGTATCATTACATCAGCTTCTAATTCCGCATTAATTTTATCTAATTGATGTTGAGGTATTGATCTATAAAAAAATTCGCGGTCAATTATCTAAAATTAAATCATTTTTTTTAAATTTATTACCTTCCTACTAAAGCTGCAACATTTGTATAAATAATAAATGAAGCGACAGTTCCCAAAATGCACCCAATTAACAGCGATCCAATAGCATCCGGGATTGCGCTGTTTATAACGGAAGAGACACCCATACAAGATGCGGCTACAAGAACTCCAATAACCGCGGCGGCATCTTCTAATAAAACCACATTAACACTCGGATCTTGGCCGCGTAGAACTAAAACGATATAAAATTATTTAAGGACAAGTGATTTTTGGTAATAAAACTTACTGTAATCTCCTAAAGACATGTTACTTTCTCTAGCACCTTTTTTTATTGATAGAAGAGCTACGAGAAGAGTTGCCCCTTCAGAAAGAAGAGAACCACCCAAAACGCAGTATCCCTAATTTATTAAACAAAAAAACTTGGTTAATAAATTAATAATTATAAAATTAATTGATTAAATGATTTATGTATAAAATCCTTTAAAATAAATCAATTTAAATTTAAAATAATGTAATAAGATATTATTCAATTTATGAATACAACATTTGTATAATGTTATTAACGTTAAATTCGTGGTTTTTGTAATAAATTAATATTAGGCAAGTTAGGATAAGTTAATTAAGGATTAGGCAAGTTTTATTGTGGTTGGTTGTTGAAGTCCTTTCTTAATAATATTTACCTGTCGGTTCTTTCTGTATAAAAATATTTATTAATATTCAATCAGTTGGTCTTAAATCTTTATATTTCTGAAAGTATGTTTCGCCCAAAGCCGGATATTAAAAACCTATTACTTAGTACTCCACTATTCACAGGAATTAGTATCTCTTTTAGGTGTTGGACATTGCAGATAATAATCAAATTCAACCCCAATAGGACTTTTATCATTGAATACAACTTTATTTATCATTTGCAACCTCATTGTAACAATTCCAATATGATATATAAAATCTCTTGTTACAGTTTCGTCTAGTTTTCTTCTCTTCGCTTGTAATTCATCATCACATTCATTACTAATAGAACTGTCACTGTTATCACTTTCGATTATTAATTAAAGTATCCTCTTTTTAATGCAAAAAGCCGTTTTGAAAAATCACTTTCAGTTCTTGAGAAATAAATTTTTGAAATGATCGACAATTTTTCAATTTTCGCCGATTAAGTTTTAAAAATTCGTATAAAATCCAGTTCTTGGAATATGAGTATTAAAATTTCCCAAAGTGTTAATAAAAGTGTCCTCTTTCCAATGAACCAACCCGTTTTGAAAAATAACTTTTAGTTTTTGAGAAAACAATATTTGAAATTTTGAAAAAATTTTCGATGTAGCAATTTTCATCGATAATTTTCAAAATTCGCTATAAAATTAATTTCTTGAAGGATCCTTGTGGAAATATCACCAATTATTAACTGAAGTATCCTCTTTTTAATGCAACAAGCCGTTTTGAAAAATCGCTTTTATTTTTTGAGAAATACATTTTTGAAATCATCGACAATTTTTTCGAATTTTGCAATTTTCGCCGATTAAGTTTTAAAAATTCGTATAAAATCCACTTCTTGGAATATGAGTGTGAAAATTTCCCAAAGTGTTCATAAAAGTGTCCTCTTTCCAATGAACCAACCCGTTTTGAAAAATAACTTAGTTTATGAGAAAGCAATATTTGAAGTTTTGATAAAATTTTCGATGTTGCCATTTTTCATCGATTATTTTCAAAATTCGCTATACAATTAATTTCTTGAAGGATCCTTGTGGAAATATCGCTTCTTTTTAGAGTTGCTTCGTTAGTTAAATCAGCATCAAAAAAATTCATTTTGTATATTGGATCCAAATAAGTTGACATATCTTATCAGCTTTCTTATTAATTTCATTTTTATTCAAATATCGCAATAATGTGGCAATGTAGGATGGATATCACTTCAGAAATGTACCAGAAATTATAACCATAATGACCGGATAGATATGCCGAATAACCGGATATCCATCAGTAATTTTAACTAAACCAAGAACCTTTATGAAATCACATACAGGATGATTCAAAAAACCGCTGACAGACTTCTAGAGTAGATAATACATGAAAAATTAAGATGAACAGTCTTAATATACATGGGGTCGGAAATTCCTCGTTGGCGAGATACAGCGTATCAAAGTTTCTTTAAAATTAAACATTATCTGCAATAAAAAGCACTTTTTTAAAAATATTTTCAATTCCACTGCAAATTTTGTCAAACGGGCAGTATTTTCGTGTAAAGTGATCAATTAAGTGATTTAGGATCACTTCTAGGGCTGGTAATACTTAAAATTTCTATTGTAATATCGAAAAATGCCCTCTAATGGCAACATACATAATACATACAGTCATCACAAATAAGGTAGGATTTGTAGTCCAAGAAAAGCTCTTTTCAACGTTACCAAGCTTATTAACTTCCGTTCAGCCATTTTTTAATTATTAGCATTTGTTTACAAACATTTTCGAACACCCCCCCATCTCTTTAATTTTAAAGATAGGGCAAAAAGTGTTTTAACAAAAACAACTATAACTTATCTAAACTTTAAAATGCACATACTTTTTTATTATATTAATACGGCGGAATTCCGAGAAAAACCACATTTTTTAATTCAAGATGGCGGTTGCGCCCCCGAGGGAATATCATAATTTCCAGGATTTTCTCTTAGTCACTTCAGTCGTTAAATTCTTTAAGCACTGCACACTTATTTGGTCACCCTGTACAGGGTGGGCAAATTTGGGTGTTATTATAGGCTATCTCAGAAACTATAAGAGATACGAAAAAAGTAGGTGCAATGTCCCGGTCTCTTTTTTCGAGACTAATCCAATCCTTCAAACACACAACCTCTATCTTCTTTTGTTTTTAAGTTATAGCCAAAAATGCTCATATTTCGTTTATTTTTCAATTTAAAGAAATGGGGTTATTACGTTCTTAAGACACTTTTTTAAGTAGAATATACAGCCGTTGAAAAATTTTAAATATACTTGATGATTTTTGAGATACAACACAAAGTTGTGTTTTTTTAAATACAAACTATACTTGATTATGATGTTACTGAAAAGAGCATACTTTCAGCTTTCCAATGATGTATCGCATGGATGGTGTCTTTGCAGAAAATAAGCGTTAATTTTCAATTCCAAAATAGTAAGCGCCAAATTATTGAAAATTTTGATTATAGTATGCGGGTCAGGACAATAAATACTACCTAGTGGCTATAATACAGGATAATTCAAATTCGACCCCCACCATTGGGATCTCAGAAACCATAAGATTTCGACTACGTTTCTGGATCTAGCCGTTTTAGTTTTTGAAATAGGGTCGAAAAACAAAAAAAATACTTTTTCGTTTTTTGCCTATAACTTCTTTATTTTTCGTTTTTTCGTGAATCTGAAAAAACATTCTTAAGGCAACTTTTTATGAAAACTGTCATGACAACTGGAAATTTTCTCCGACGTTTCGTTTTCGTGAACCTATCATCAGGTTTATTTGTTCTTATGAACGCCATATTTGATTTTCACACCAAAAAATAGGATAATTAATTCTGATTTCAATAATATGTCACACAATGTATTTCATTTAAAAAAACATTGAATTATTCCCAAAAAAGAATAAACCTGATGGTAGTTTCACGAAAACCAAACGTCGGAGAAAATTTCTAGTTGTGTCATGACATTTTTCATAAAAAGTTGCCTTAAGAATGTTTTTTCAGATTCATGAAAAAACGAAAAAGAAAGGAGTTATAGGCAAAAAACGAAAAAGTCATTGTTTTGTTTTTCGGCCATATTTTAAAAACTATAAAACGGCTAGATCCAAAAACTTATTGTTAGTTGAAAAATGATGAGCTCTAAGATACGCAACTTTTCCCCCATTTAACCATTGCTGTATCTCTATGATTTCTGAGATCCCAATAGTGGGGGTCGAATTTGAATTACCCTGTATATAGTTTTGCACGAATATGACAGAATAAATGTGGTTTTGTACTATTATTCAGGATAAAGTTGGTTTTGTACCAACGAATAAAAACTTGGAATAGTTAATTTATATTTCTTTGGTGACTTTATTCACCAATCAAAAATGGTTAGCAAGTAATGTTTGTTTATTAAAAATACAAGAAATGTATTAATTAATGAATAATTAAATATGGACAACTTGAGGAACTAAACAGTCACAAACTGTCATCTTCTTCTACTAAACATACTGGTTGTAAGGTTAGAACAGTTCGGAATCAATGAATGAAATCTTCGGTAGTATTTTCCCAGTTTTTTCCAAACATAAGATTTAGAAGTTTTTTGACATCACCAATCTTTTCTTTTGAAATTGGGTGAGATAGAGGAAAATTAGGGATCATAAACTGGGAGCGGACTTTCCATTGAAACACCGTATCAATGGGGATATGAAAACTTATGTATTATCTTCAAAGCGGATCTTCGTTTTATTTAAAAATAATGCGGAACTTCTTAAACGGGAAACTCGTTTCGTAAAATTCATGAATGAAATAATATAGCATTTAGCTAGTATAATTAAAAATTTGAATTTTAATCTTTAATATTTGAGAATTGAAAAATAACGCTTATTTTCTGCAGATACATCATGCGTGCGATACATCATTGGAAAGCTAAAAATATGCTCTGTTCAATAACATCATAATCAACTATAGTTTGTATTTAAAAAAATACAACTTCATGTTATATCTCAAAAAAGTGCCTGTAGAATGTATTAATTTCCCATTTCCCCATTTATCTAATTTCAAAAATAAACGATATATGAGCATTTTTTGAAATCGCTAAAATTTAACTTTTCGGCTATAACTTCAAAACAAAAGAAGATAGAGATTTGGTCTTTGCGAGATTGGATTAGTCTCGGAAAAAGAGACCGAGACATGGCACCTACTTTTTTTGTATCTTATAATGAAACTTGTAATGCCGCAAACCAAATTTTCATAGACCTCTTCGTTTTTGATATACAGGGAGTATTTCAAAATTTACGATTTTCAGACACCCCCGTATCTCGGCTATCCGGAAACTTAGTAAAAGTAAAAACGGGTTCTAATAGATTTTTTCACGTAGAATCCAATGGTGCACGTAGAATTTTTCTAGACATCACGGTTTTTGAGTTATAAACACAACTTAGGTTTTTTTTAAATGGAACCACCTATATTTTATTTTTTTATTGAACTAGAATTTTTTCAAGCTTTTCAATGATATATAATACTCTATACTTACCTTTATAATTAACCTCGAAATTAAAAAAACCACATTATTTTATAAGTAGGCTATGATGAATTAAGTGATCGCGTTGCTAGGATACCAGAATAAACAAAGTTAATTATTGACTTATTAAAAAATGTATCTATTAATTTTTGTTTGCAAAAAACGATAAATTATTAAAAACTAAACATTATGCAAATATGGCTTCAAGTTACAAGAATTGTTCAAAGTTGCTACCATTTTGATGCACACATTGTTCACAAAGTTTAGTAATGCGTTTAATTGCATTTAATAATAGTTATGGGATGTTGCTGTAAATGTGAAAAAGCATCAGTTACAGCAATTTTCAATTCCAATTTTGTTCGATTCTGGGTACTATATACCCAATTCTTGATATATCCCCATAAAAAGAAGTCCACAATAGATAAATCAGGTGATCTTGCTGGCCATCGCGTTGGACCATGTGTGCCTATCCACCTACCAGGAAATTCTGCAGTTAGGTAGCGACTCACTAACTGCGCCATATGAGCGGGAGCTCCGTCCTGCTGAAAATAAATATTATTTAGCCGAATAAGAGGAATATCATCCAAAATCTCTGGCAAAGCCTCTTGCAAGATGGCCAAATAGCGATTAGCGCAAAGGTTTCCTTCAAATATTTTGTAAATAATTCGTGGCCCAATAATAAAACACGCCACGCTAACACCAAATTTTCCTTGGCGCTCCCGCTCAATTACAATATGTTGGTTTTCTTGATGCCAATGCCTGTTATGACGACGATAGATTCCTGTGCTGGTAAAATATGCCTCATCAGACCATATAATAGAGGAACTAAATTCAATATTATTTTGTGCATGGTTCAAATACCAGTTACAGAATTTCAAACGTCGTTCGGCATCTCCCGGGTGTAAGTGGTGAACTATTTGTTCTTTGTAGGGTTTATATTTATACTTTTTTAGAATCGCACAGGCTGTCGATTTTTTAATTTCAACTTGACATTCAATTTCCCTACATGATGTTTTAGGCGAGGCTTCCACACCTCCTAACACGGTAATTTCATTGTTATTCCGATTTTCTTTATTATATTTTTTTGGCCTGGGCAACAAAAAACTTCCATAATTGATCAAATTACGATTTATTCGCGAAAAAATTTTTGAATTTGGTTGCGCTCTTTCTGAATATGTGAAGTGAAACAATCTGCTAATAAAATGTTATTGCTTATAAATGTTGCATTCTACCTATTTATGTATAATTCAGCAGCTTGATTAACATTTTCATTTGCATGAATGTAACATGCTAGCATGTCATATTTTTCATAGCGCTCCATTTCAAGAAAAAGATAATTAAGTTAAGTTAATTAAAGGTAATTAAGTAACACACGACTTATTGTTAGCACAAAATTCTAAATTAAGTTTGACAGTAATTAACTATATTTACTTTGTTAATTCCGGTATCCTAGCAACGTAAGCCTTGACGTAACAGAGATGGGCGGAGCTTATATCGACTCCAAATATTTTCGTAGCTAAGTGTGTTGCTAACGGTAAATCACCATATATTATGCAATTTTTCAATTAGTGTTAAAATAAAATAAACTAAGTGACTTTTTATGACATTTCAAATGACATTTTTATTACGGTTTATCATTAGCAACTGTGGTTAGCAACGAAATTGTTTGGAGTCGATATAAACTCCGCCCATCTCTGTGACGTCAGGCTAGGCAGTCTATTTATCATTGCCTACTTATAAAATAATGTATTTTATTCAATTTCGAGGTTAATTATAAAGGTAAGTATTATATATCATTGAAAAGCTTAAAAAAATTCTAGTTCAATAAAAAAATAAAATATAGGTGGTTCCATTTAAAAAAACCTAAGTTGTGTTTATAACTCAAAAACCGTGATGACTAGAAAAATTCTACGTGCACCANTCTTTTCAATGTAAAAAGCAGTTTTAAAAAATCGCTTTTAGTTTTTGAGAAATAAATTTTTGAAATGATCGATAATTTTTTCGAACTTTGCATTTTTCGACGATTAAGTTTTAAAAATTCGTATAAAATCCACTTCTTGGAATATGAGTATGAAAATTTTCCAAAGTGTTAATAAGAGTATCCTCTTTCCAATGAACTAACACGTTTTGCAAAATAACTTTTAGTTTTTGAGAAAACAATATTTGAAGTTTTGATAAAATTTTCGATGTTGCAATTTTCATCGATTATTTTCAAAATTCGCTATACAATTAATTTCTTGAAGGATCCTTATGGAAATGTCGCTTCTTTTTAGAGTCGCTTCGTTAGTTAAATCAGCATCAAAAAACATCATTTTGTATCTTGGATCCCAATAGGTTGACATATCTTATCAGCTTTCTTATTAATTTCATTTTTATTCAAATATCGCAATAATGTGGCAATGTAGGGTACCAAGAACTTTTATGAAATTACATATTATATTCCTCTTCAACCATTAAATCTTGTTTCAGCGATATTTTAGGTTAGGAACATGATATCGAGGCGCCGCTTTCACTAGCTTGTTTGGGCTTCATTTTGCTATTTTTTCATGAAAAAAAAGTAATACCAATAGATTTAACTTTGCTAAGAAAACTCAAAATTTCTATTGTTATATCGAAAAATACCCTCTAGTGGCAACATACGTAATTACAGTCATCACAAATAAGGTAGGATTTGTAGTCCAAGAAAAGCTCTTTTCAACATTACCAAGCTTATTAACTTCCGTTCAGGCATTTTTTAATTATTAGCATTTGTTTACAAACTTTTTCGAACACCCCCCCATCTCTTTAATTTTAAAGATAGGGCAAAAAGTGTTTTAACAAAAACAACTATAACTTATCTAAACTTTAAAATGCACATACTTTTTTATTATATTAATAGGGCGGAATTCCGAGAAAAACCACATTTTTTAATTCAAAATGGCAGTTGCGCCCCCGAGGGAATATCCTAATTTCCAGGATTTTCTCTTAGCCACTTCAGTCGTTAAATTTTTTAAGCACTTTGCACACTTATTTGGTCACCCTGTACAGGGTGGGTAAATTTAGGTGTTATTATAGGCTATCTCAGAAACTATAAGAGATACGAAAAAAGTAGGAGCAATGTCCCGGTCTCTTTTTTCGAGACTAATCCAATCAAAATTGCCTGTGTGTGAACCTTCCTCGCATTCAACCAATCACGTGCAAGGTCAATCTGGTGACAAATTTAAAATACTCCTCCTGGTTTAAAAACAGAGTATAGTATATTTATATATTTAATCTATGATTTAGAGAAATGGGGTTGTTACGTTCTTAAGACACTTTTTTAAGTAGAATATACTGCCATTGAAAAATTGTAGATATACTTGATGATTTTTGAGATACAACACAAAGTTGTGTTTTTTAAAATACAAACTATACTTGATTATGATGTTACTGAAAAGAGCATACTTTTAGCTTTCCAATGATGTATCGCATGTATGGTGTCTTTGCAGAAAATAACAAATAACAGTTTTGTACTATTATTCAGAATAAAGTTGGTTTTGTACCAACGAATAAAAACTTTGAATAGTTAATTTAAATTCCTCAACATCTTATCGCTGACTTTCTTCACCAATAAAAAATGGTTAGCAAGTAAAGACTGTTTATTAAAAATACCAGAAAAGTATTAATTAATGAATAATTAAATATAGACAACTTCAGGAACTAAAGTCACAAACTGTCATCTTCTTCTACTAAACTTACTGGTTGTAAGGTTAGAACAGTTTGGAATCAATGAATGAAATCTTCGGTAGTATTTTCCCAGTTTTCACCAAACATAAGATTTAGAAGTTTTTTGACATCACCAATCTTTTCTTTTGAAATTGGGTGAGATAGAGGAAAATTAGGGATCATAAACTGGGAGAGGACTTTCCATTGAAACACCGTATCAATGGGGATATGAAAACTTATGAATTCAAAGCAGATCTTCGTTTTATTTAAAAATAATGCGGAACTTCTTAAACGGGAAACTCGTTTCGTAAAATTCATGAATGAAATGACAAGTAAACTCATGTTCCTATAGTAACTAAGTAGCATTGGAAAGCTAAAAATATGCTCTGTTCAATAACATCATAATCAACTATAGTTTGTATTTAAAAAAATACAACTTCATGTTATATCTCAAAAATTATCAGCTATGTTTAAAATTTTTCAACGACAGTATATTCTACTCAAAAAAGTGCCTGTAGAATGTATTAACCCCATTTCTCTAATTTCAAAAATAAACTAAATATAAGCATTTTTTTAAATCGCTAAAATTTGACTTTTTGGCTATAATAACACCCAAATTTGCCCACCCTGTACATCAAATAATGATGTAGAGGCGATGAATTCTGTTTTGTGTCGCCACTCTAGACGTTCATATTTGTAATAACAATTTTAATATTGAATTAGATGCTAAAACTGATTTAATTTTTTTACTTATTGGTGTACAAATATCAATATATGAACCAATACACACTTAATGATTTATTTTAAAGGATTAAAAGAGTCATTTAAAAAATAAAGATTTATCTACCCAGAATAAATCATCAATAGCATGAGGGTCAACAAGTCCAGAAATTCCATGATAAATCGATAATCCAGTTCCAACGCAAAAAATTCCAACTCCAGATATTAAAGAAGCTACATACCTCATATTCGAATAACCATAAGGATGTGTAACATCAGCATGCTTTTAAAAAAACATACATTATAATAAATCTATTACCAAACAAGAATAAAGTACCTGAACTGATTTATGAATTCCATAAGCTAATATAAGTTGATTTATTGTATCTGCCAAAGAATGAATGCATTCTGAGAACATACTATGAGATCCGGTTAAGATCCAAGCTCCAAGTTTAAAAAGAAAATTAGTTGTGTTACTATAAAAAAAGAATATTTTAATTATTAAAACGAAACATTCTCGATTTTGAGTTAAATTTCCAATATTAAAAAAGATTTTTTTTAATCATCAACACAAATCGAATTTATATACCTTTAAACCGACTTACATAGCCACTGCAAGTAATACAACTCTTCCAGAACGTCCCATTAATCCAGATTCAAGTTCAGCAGCTTCAACAGAGCGACCCATTTCTCGCCGATAATCTCTTAATCTCCTTTTAACAGTAAAAATATCTACAAAAAAAGAAAAATTTACACCAAATTCAATAAAAAATTAAAAATGATTACTTTGTTGATATTTTTTCTTTTCAATATCCCTTTTTAATTGTTCTTTTAGTAAATTATCCCTTGATCCCCATACTTCTAATGCTTTTGCTTCGACATCTTTCCTCCAATAGACCGTAATAGGGGGTTCTCTTTCGTATGGGGATCTTCGTTTTGTTTTTGGAAGGGTTTCTAAATCCGACGGTTTTAATAAGAAATCAGACATAGCTCTAAATGGGGTAATAAAGTTTCTTTCAAGTGACGAAACTGTGAAATCAACGCGTTTTCGTTTCTTTTCGGCTTTTAAAGCTGCTTTTTCTTTAACTTCTGATTTATTTTCGCCTAATTTTTCAACGATTTTTTCTTTTAAAGTTTTTGGAACACAAGTTGCTCCGGTGTTTAAATTCTTTTCTTCTACCCCTTCTAATGTAACTTCTCGGGGTTTTTCAACAGGAATACCTTCTTTATCCTTAACGTTAACTGATATCACTTGTAATATAGGTGTCTTTTTAACATTCTCTTCAACCTCATTTCTTGAGCAACCTTTTTTATTGTTATTATCATTTTTATCACTAATCGATAAAATTTTTGACCAAACGAATGTTCTAATAAACCCTAAATCTTTGTTAGGACCCAGTAATTGATTTTGTTCGAATGTAGATAACTTTCTTTTAGCTACATCTTAAAAAATAATTTTTATGAAAAACGAAAATATTTTTATTGTAAAATACTTACAAAATCGATTATAAAATAAAGGGGCTTTCTGACAAATGTGTTTAATTCGAAAACAAGACCTCGTCAACATTTTCTTTTATACGATTTTAGTATTTTAGTAGAAAATTACTTTGTGAGGTTATGTCACAAATAAACATAACTCGATGACTGATTTTGAACGATTTACTTGTAGATTTGTAGTTCAACGCTTTTTCTACCCTCCATCACACATTTTCATCAATTATTAAGTTGTTATTATCGCAATATATATTTTTTAGAAAAATCCCACTTGAGAAATTCACATAACCTCTATTACAACTTGTCAAAAACGTCAAAATCAGACACTACATAATTATGACTTTTAATTACAGGAAACTGTAATTATATCAATATTTTTTGGCATTTTTCAAAAAGCATTAAAAAGAATAAATATGCAACAAACAACAGTAAAAGTAAAGTGTGGAAAACCCGTTTTTAAATTTAAATTTCGTACATTAAGAGCGATAGGGATTGTGGCATCGTTAATGTGCGGTGCTATTTTTTTGTACAATTTAAACCTGGTTTATGTTGCATTTCATATAAGATATAACATTGGAGTTTATATAGATATGCTTTCCGCAAATGGAAGAGTTTTGCCAATGTTCCTGGTGATCACAGCACTTGCTATATCCATCGTGGATATTTGCGTAATGTTTTACTTGGGGAGAGCTTTCAGCAAAACGAAGAACAAGCATATAAACTTTATGCTTTTTGTAATCGTTCTTGTTATCATTGGATCGATTTGTTTTATTTTCTTTATGTGCATACTGATTTTAAGTCATTCGTATTCAAAGCGCCAACAGATGCATGATGGAATTGTAGATGCAATGATGAATTATTCCAAAGATTCCTTAACGAAAGAAACTCTCGATAACATGCAAGTTGAATATGAATGTTGTGGAAGCAAAAATTACTCAGATTGGTATGATATTAAATGGTATGATGCTAATTTAATCAATACAGGGTAAGAAGTATTAATTAAATCAAATTTGTTTTGAATTGAGTTTGTTTTTTAGAAAATTTCCAAGTTTAAAAGGTGAGGCACCTTTTAGTTGTTGCGCCATCCAATCTGTTTATCCTTGTATTCATCATGGAATAGAAGTAGCTGCTGATGCTTATCTTTATAAGAAAGATGCCAACATTAGTGTTTCAACTGAAGGTTGTCATACAATGATTTTAAAAAAGAGGGAAGCTTGTGGATGGACTTTAGTGTTGAGATTGTTCGGTTTAGCTTTTTTACAGACAATTGTTTTAATTGGGATGAGACTTGTACAAACCGGTCATTCAGAAAGAAAATCTTTTGATCGCGAGGAACGTTTATATACATGTTGGTTATTTGGTTGTTATGCTGGAAAGACTAAAAGTGTTGTTCCACCTCCAGTTCCACCTTTACCACCAGAATTATTAGAATAATTTGAATTAAATATTAGACCTTACAGCCATCTATCCGAAACCATTCCAAATTCGAAAAGAAATTTATAATCTTTATTTACACATAAAAATGCTGTTATCTCACTAATACGTCGTTTAATAACTTTGTTTATAATAAATTAATCTTAATTTACAATTTTAAACATAAATAAGGTTTAAATAAGTTAACACGTGCGCGAATTTCAATGGGAGATTACGTAACCCTTTCACCAAAACATGTCTCAAGCTGTGTTAAAATACCAACACCGTTCCAGTTCCATTTAAATCCAAATAAATTTAATATAGTGGTTGATTCTGGTTGAGTTATTGAGTTGAGTAAATTTTTTTTATTTTAGAAATTGTTAAAATTAGTTTTTTAATTATGTATTCAAAACGATTGTTCGTTAAAAATAAAATTTGTCAATTAAAAGCGGGTTTAAATCCGGTTAAAAATGTGAGACGGCTATGTTTATCCATTGAAAATGAAAATGTTATCGTTCCGAGGGTTCCTAATTTCCAAGTTAATGAGTGTTTATTGAGTGAATATGTTTGGAAAAATTTAGATAGATGGGAAAATAAAACAGCTGTGGTAAGAATTTTTTAATAAAATGTTTTAGGGTGAGCCAAATTTTTTTACTGTTCTTTTAAATCGTATCTGAAGAAAATTTTTTGAATACACATTAACTGAAAAATTAATAATTAATAGTTAAAAAATATTGATTTATTTATTTGTTGTCAATGGACTAAAAAATCTGAGTTAATCAGCTCAAAAAGGATTCGTTTTTGAAATAATTAATCAAAATGAACTTCATGTCTCCAATAAATGTACATTTTTTGTTATTTATGAGATAAGAAATATTTGTTCTTTTATTAACACATTGATTGCTATGAACACATGGATTCTTTGGAAGCAACTAAATCATAGTCAAATCTTTATTTGAATCAGAATACAATAATCCTAGTAATGCTATTTCTTCAAAGAATGTTTAGAAGAATAGACAATAATGTAACCCCTGAGCGAAATGAAACAAGCTAAGTTCTGCGTTAATCATGGGCTTCAATTACAAGCAGAATATAACCAAAAACTTCTCAATGAATTCACAGTGCTACCTGAATTGTTTACATCTAACCTCACTACTGCATGTTTTGTAATGTTAGAAATAAGAAACTCACAAACTTGGTGATCGTAAAACTTGGGAAAATCGTTTAACCATCAACTTCTTCTTCTGTTGATCCTTATGCCTTATGGCGTCTGATAAATCTTTTCCTATTCCTCCATCCATTTTTTCCACTTCCTCCGGTTCCTGGCTAATTTCTTTATATCTGCCAGAGTCTTCCCTCTCTTCTTCCCAACTTGTGCTATTCTTTCCTCCTACTTCTTCCTAGGTCTTCCTCTTTTTCTTATTTTTATTCTTTGCTTCAAATACCTTTTTTACTATTGTGTTATGTTTCATTTTAATTATGTGGGTGTACCAGTTTAGTTGCTTTCTCTCTATTTTGCTGATTATCTCCTCTTGGTCTACTCCCAGTCTTATTTCCTATACCACTTCGTCTTCCCCCCTATTTTCCGTAAAAATTCCATTTCCATTGCTGTGATCTTTCCTTCTTGTTTATCTTGGAGTGTCCATGATTCACTTGCATATGTTAATATTGGAACTTTCAATTTTATCTTTTTATCTCTCCTCGTAGAAAATAATTTAGACTGAGATTACACGATCGTGAACTCTCAATTCGCAGAACTATTACGTAAAATTATGCACTCATCGAATATTTCCTTAACCTGATTTTGTCATGTTGCGCCGTCTTGTTGAAACTTAAGCTGTCGCAAATTTGATATATATTAGATGACTAAATACTGTTTGCACAAAACTAAATACTGCTTGCAAAAGATTAGTTATTGCTGGCAGAAGTCTGGAAACTGCTGCACAAACAATAGATATTGTTAATAGAATGTAAATGTTTTCTCTGTAGAAGCTAATACGTCTATAGGACTAAATACGTGCAATGAAATATAAGATTTTGCTAATATAAGACTAGAAACTGCTTGCAGAATATTATTTATTGCTAGATGACTCTTCCCAAAAATTATTCTGTTTAATTCTTGTTTGCCTCTCCTAATTCTTCCATTGTCTTCTCTTCCCTTCGCTATTGTTTGTGTCCGTTTTCGATCCTTGAACTTTTCTACATAAAAATCCACCCATATGTCCAGAATTTCCCTTGTTGTTGTCTTTATCCCGTTGTTTTTATCTTTGACGGATTTTATTTGTTTCCTTTGATCTCCCTTCAGTTTTCTTATTTGATTCCAGAATTACCTGTTATTCGATTCACTTAAGTTTGTTCCGAACTCTTCCCAACTTTTCTTTTTCACCTCCCTTACCATACTCTTAGCTACATCCCTATTCGTTCTATAGTTTGCTCTATCTTCTTTTGAATTCGTTCTTATGTATTTCTTCCATGACTCTTTCTTCTTCTTGATTGCCTGTCGGACTTCTTCATTAAACCAGTGTATTCTCTTTGTCTGATTATTTTATTTAATATCTCTTTAAAAGTTCTAACCTTTCCTCTAGTGTTAAATTCTCTGTTTCTTCTAGTTTTTGAAATTCGTTGTTTGTTTTTTCTGGGTATTTTAGTCTTTCTTCCTCCTGCCTTAGTTTATGGATGTTTATTTTCGTGCAGGTTTTCATCTCTTCTCTTTCGATTTCTATATTATTGATAGTTGCCATGACTAGTTTATGGTTGGTTCCTATTTCTGCTTCTGCTTCAGTCTTTACCTCCTCGACTCTATTTTGGAGATTCTGGGTGTATGTGATGTAATCAACAATACTCTTGGCATTCCTTTCTCCCCCCACAAACGTATATTTATCTTGCCTCCTCTAACTCTACATAGTGTTTCCAATCAATAAGTCGTTTATTTGAAAATTCCAGTATTCTTTACCCATTTCTATTCATCACTGCTTCTCCCTGATCCCCATATTCTCCGACACTATCATTACCTATTCTCGCATTCCAGTCCCTCATTATAAATTCTCTGAATTTATCGAAGATTTTCTGCAGACTTGAAGCAGACATCGTCGAACCTTAGTTACAGTTGGATCTATTTCAAAAAGTAACTGCGATCGCAACTACAACCTTATGAACTCCCATTATGAGTTAGATATTTCTTTAGATTATGAACTATCACGTCAAGAAAGAGGACTAACGACAAGAGTTGTCAGAAAACTAACAAATAATGGATTTTAGAAGAGGTCACTGTTACATGTAGGTTACTAAAGAAAATTTAGACAAAATCACAATATTCGATTCAACTAATACCGGTAAGATTAAGAGATTCAGGTATCATGTTTGATCGATCTAATTGAAGTACTGTTCAAATAAGGATCAATCGGGTGAGATTACACGATCGTGAACTCTCAATTCGCAGAACCATTACGTAAAATTATGCAGAAGATTAGTTACTGCTGGCAGAAATCTGGAAACTGCTGCGAGAACACTAGATATTGTTAATAGAATGAAGATGTTCTCTATGTAGAAGCTAATACGTCTAAATACGTGCAATGAAAGATAAGATTTTATTAATATAAGACTAGAAACTGCTTGTAGTATATTATTTATTGCTAGATGACTTGAGATCACATGTACTTGATGTATTTGTCATCGACTTATATTGTTCTACATTGATCGTAACGACCAGCAACATCTTTAAAAATTTATGGTTCAACGATTCCACCTGTCATAAAATACACCAAGCATTGAGTTGAGTATTTGTGGATATAACGGCGTCTCAATAATGGTGTCTGGCTGTTTTTCGCTCCAACGATGGCAATTTTGCTTGTTGGCGTAGCCATTCAACCAAAAATGAATCTCACTGTTGAGCAATATCACGTTGTTAAAATCAAGTACAATCTGCGATGACACAATGATTAAACAGCTTCAATTCTTGCACGCACCAAATCTTGTAGGCTAGTAATCCAACATTTTTCCAGTAAATCTTCCATAAGTGGATGTGCGAAGCTGTAATTGCTATGCAAGATGGCGAATCAAGTCATTTGGATCCTCAACACAGCGTTCTTCACTAGCAATAACAATTTCAGTGCGGTACGTCTTCTTTGTGGTTTCGTATTGTCAATTCTAGTATGCGCGAACAAATCTCTAAACAAACACACGATACCCATTGTTCACTAAAAACTTTAAACAACACTGATATTGTTGACTAAAAATCCAGAATGTTTATGCGAACCAATGCAGCAAGTGTAGCTCGATAAAATCAAAATTACTGCTATTCTCCAGACCGAGAAAGCTCTTGTAATCATGTGAATAGTAAATAAGTTTAGAGGTTACATTGAAGGTGTTGATGGTTTTGATGTATTACAATTACAAGATAAATACCTTAAGATAGAGAAAATATGGAAAAGTAATCTATCATCTAAAAATGATCTGACAGAAGATCCCAAAATTAGAATAGAATGTATGTTTATGGAAAGGCAACAATTCTTCTATGGATGTTTATTCACTAATGGACGTTTGCGACCTCATTTTCCCTTTCTTCTCTATTTGCGCAGTATGGATTATGTTTCTATATTGTGCAACCCAGTCCATTGTCGATCATTTCGGAGCCACATAAGTTTTGTCTACCATCTTTTTGTATTTTGCGGTGTCTCGAATGCTTTCAGTTTATTTATTGCGTAACATACGTTACATTTCACGAGCCAATTTCGATGTCCAATTTTCATACAGCTGTGTCTCCAGGTATTTGAAATTGTCTGCTCTTTCTATTCGTGTATCACTGTATGCTTCATACAGTGATACACGAGCACATTTAATGCTACATTAAATGTTTTTCCCACTTAAGACATGATATTAGTTATCAGCTGAATATCAGCAGAAAAATTTTGGGCTCACCTTTATAACAAAAAATTTATTTAAAAAGTTTTAATGACAACTTTTTTTGAGGCAAAATTATAGGTTTGTGCAGAAACAGAAAGAAGTTACACTTACAGTCAAGTTAGAGATAAATCAAAAAATGTCGCGGTCTTTTTAAAAAAAGCTTTAAAACTTACAAAAACTGAAACAGTTGCGATATTTTCACCAAACGTTCCTGAATATTGCATAACACTTTTTGCTTGTATTGAAGCTGGATTAAAAGTTACCACTATTAATCCTATTTACACCAAAGGTAAAATACCTCCAATACTAGTTTAATATTATTTACCTTTTTTTGTTTTTTAGACGAAATAAAAAGACAATTAATTAATTCAAACACCAAGGTAGTGTTCACTGTAACAGATCTCTATTCCACTGCAAGAGATGCGATTTCTTCAATTCCTCAAAAAGAAATTTCGATTGTTGTCATTCAAGATAAACCCCATGTGAGTTTACCAAGTGGGGCGATTAAATTCGACGAGATTTCAAGTTATTTCGGAAGTTTTACGTTTGAGCAACAAACCAATACAGACGTGGCTTGTTTACCTTATTCTAGTGGAACGACCGGAACTCCCAAAGGTGTCGAATTAACCCATAGGAACTTAGTTTCAAATTTACAGCAAATTCAAAGTGATGAGTTCCGCTTAAATAGGGTCACTGAAGGAAATATTCAAGATGTCGTTCCGGTTATACTTCCTATGTATCATATTTACGGGTTAACGGTGATACTTATGAATATGTTTTCTCAAGGCTGCAAATTGGTTACTGTACCAAAATTTGGAACGGATATTTTTTTAAAGATTTTAGACCATTTTAAACCAAATGTATTTTATGCGGTCCCACCTATAAGTATATTATCAAAAAAAAATTTTGAAAAAGTGCTCATTTATTATCTATTTTTCTTTGTATTATAGTGTTAATGATGTTAAACAATAAATACATACGTGCTGAACAATTAAAATCCATTCATCAAGTTGTATGTTCCGCAGCACCTTTAGGAGTAGCTGATATAGAAAAGTTTTTTGTAAAAACCCAAGGAAAAGTAAAATTTATGCAGATTTACGGAATGACTGAATGTTCCCCCATTATTTTACACCAATCCCCAGTTTTAGATAAAGGGAGAAAAGTGGGTGCAAGCGGATTATTGGTCGCAAATACCCTAGCGAAAATTGTACAAGTCGATGACCCAAACGATACCAATTTAGGACAATTTGAAAACGGAGAATTACTTGTAAAGGGTCCTCAAGTTATGAAAGGTTACCACAATAATCCTGAAGCTACAAAAGCAACAATTAACGAAAATGGGTGGATACGAACTGGTGATATCGCTTATTACGACGAAGATGGCCAATTTTATATCACAGATCGATTGAAAGAATTAATTAAGGTTAATATTGAGGTAACTTCATAGTTAATTTAATAATTTTATTTTTTAGGTAAAAGGATTTCAAGTAGCTCCAGCAGAACTTGAAGAAGTCTTAAGGAGCCATCCTGCAGTTGCTGATGCTGCAGTTATTGGAATACCTCACCAACAATATGGGGAAGCTCCTAAAGCGTTCGTTGCTTTAAAAAAAGATCATAAAGCAAATGCAGAAGATATTCGATCATTCGTTGCTGGAAAAGTTGCTCCTTATAAAGATTTAACTGGTGGGGTTATTATTTTGGAAAAAATACCAAAAACTGCTTCAGGAAAAACGTTAAGAAGAGATCTAAAACAATTATGTTAATTTATTCTTTATAAACGAACAATTTTATTTTTGGTAAATAAATATCATGTATTTTTGTAAATTTATATTTTGTTTTGCCTCATAAACTCCCTGTATGTTCAATATTATAATCGTGAGTCACGAAACTCACTTTTATAAATAAATATACAAAACTCGTTAATAAGTATGATTTAATTGCAATAAAATCCGCAAATGTATAAGATATAAGAAATATAAGATTTTATATTTCATTTTTAATGTTATAAGGGACAGCTATATAAAGAGAAAGTATATTTAGTAGGGTTGCCACCTGAATAGCATTAAAATTTCCTAGAACTGTCATCTAGCTGTCAAAACATATCAAAACGAATACTTTTAAGTTTAATTTTTGAATTAAATTAATAATAAAGATCGCAATGTGTGGTAGATTAGCTTGGTAAATATATTTACAATCAAATTAACCTAAATTAAATTAAGACAACAAAAATCTTTTATAGTTCTTTAGATCCGGAAGAAATACATAATTCATGCACCATAACAAAAAGCTCAAAAACAATTAAACCTAAATGGAAAAACGACTCAGGTTATACCTACAAACCATTTTATAATGGCCCTCCAACAACAGTAGTTCCAGTTTTAACATTCCAACCAGAATTGAACCAAAAAGATGTTGAGGAAAGTTTGTCTTTGGTGCCAATGAAATGGGGATTTACACCATCATTTGTACTTTATTAATAATTTATGTATCCCTATTTATTACTATAATCATTTTTGTTTAGGAAGTTAATCCTCAAGCTTTAGCACACACTCATAATTGTCGTTTAGAAAATGTATTAAAATCCTCTTTATACCGAGATAGTTTAAATTCAAAGAAAAGATGTGTCGTTGTCGCTGAAGGTTTTTATGAATGGCAAACAGCTTCAGGACCTGATCAAAAACAACCTTTCTTTATTTATCAAGGAGTTGAATCAAAAAATGTTCATTCCAACAAAAAGCATTTAATGCATATGGCTGGATTATGGACTATTAAAAACACAGATGAAGGTCAAAAATACTCTTGTACTATTTTAACAATGGAATCAGATGATTCTTTGAATTGGTTACATCATCGAATGCCAATTATTTTAAATACTGACCAAGAAATCTTAACTTGGTTAGATTTTAAAAGATTCAATAATGATGAGGCACTAAAAATCGTTTCTGAACCTTTTAATAAAAGAAGTGGGAGTGAATTTAAGCTAAAAAGTTATACTGTTAATAAGAAATTTGTTAATAAATCGACTTGTAATGAAAAAGAATGCATGGTTAAGTTTGATGTAAAGTGAGTAATGATTTAAGTAAGATTTCTTAAGTTTTTTTTGTGAATTTTAGGAGACCTAACACTTTGGATTCTTGGTTAAAACCAGCTAAAAAAGCTAAAATGGAGTCGGTTTAATCATAATATTGTTATTTTTTATATAATAAAGTTTTTTGTAAGGTTTATATTTGTTTGATTCTCTATTTATAAAGCTATAAATTATTTTCAGTCAATAAAACTGTATCACTAAAGTTATTATTACTTATGAGTTGCAATTATGTCATTTATGCAGGTTGTGTCGTATTATCATAATATTTATTACTATTACAATGTTTATGACTTTGAAAGTATCTATTCTTGTACAGGCTCTAGAACATGGTGGCGACGTATCCCCAGATCTCTCATTTCGAATCCTCAGCAAAATCAAGCCAATAACAATTTCCTTCGCAAAGTCCATCCAGGAAGACTTATAATAATACCAACACACACAGTGTGGCACCAAAACTCCAAAAAATAACAAGGCAAGCAAAGCAAGAAAACCGACAGCCAAGTTCTTTGAATGAGGTGACTACAGTAAATGTATCCTGTAGATGGGCAATATCTGATTAAGCTACCAACAACTATAGCCTTATTTTAAAAATCCCCGAAATTAAAGAATATATACCTATACCATAGACAAATAGATATCCATGAAACGAAACTAACTTGCGCTACTTATGCATTCACAATTCCTAGACAGACTATACATACAGCGTGTCCCGTATCTTCCGCATCAGAGCATTATACGGTTGTAGAATACATTATTCTGAAGCGATCTTTCTAATAAATCTTTTTCGAAAAGCAGAAGAAATACCGACTGACAAAAGAAACAGAAATAATGACACAAATTTTGCAATGCTTACTCAATAAGAGTTTGACAACAAAACAGCCCAAGAAGAGATCAAATAGAAATAAATGAATTGCAAGAAATAACAACAGAAGGACTAATAGATGCTATTAAATAGTTAAAGAGAGTTAAAGTACTAGAAATCACAACTGCTTCTGCCTTTTCATCGTACTTCTGAATATTCTCCGACCATCAGATTAGTGAACACCTTGGTTCAGCCAAAAAAGACATGCAAATATTTAGGGATAACCATTGACAATAAATTGAAATTTAATATTCATACAAAAAAAAGTTAAAATGAAAGTAGAAATAATGAATGTAGGCACGTGAATGAAATAGCACGTGCCAAGCAATTTAGAAGCCTGAGATTCAAGAACAACGGTGTTAACATTAAATGTGCGATGCATATTTATAAGACAATATGTAGACCTCTCATCGACTACGGAGCCCCGTTGTTGTTTAAAATTGGAAATAAATCATTGAAAAACATTAAAGTGGCAGAGATATCAGCTATTAGAATCATCACCAAATTAAGAAATCCTCTACTAAAATCCCTGTATGAGAAAGCACAAATTATTTCAATCATTGAACGCTTATCCGTCCTAGCACAAAAGTCATACAAGAAAATGTCCTCAAAGCTTTCCCTTCTCTTCCAACGCTCTGATTTTGACACCATTTTTAAAACCATCAACTAATTTAAACAATGATTAGCGATCTTTACATGGTTGTGATTGGTTTGGAATACATACAACTTAAAACACGTTAGTTAGTTAAGAACTTCTTTGCGAAACTGCCTGACTGAGGGCAGTCCGGGTATACGTTATAAATTCGGTTGAAAAGTTATCGCACAAATATGGCTGGACCGTCAAAACGAATGCGTTTAGATGTCTTAAGTTTTGATAAAACACTTCAGAAGTGGTGTGATGAAAGAGATAGTAATGCTAGTGACATTGATAATGTCCTGGTGGAAAATTACGATAAGTCTGATCATGATAGCGCCTCAGAACAATCAGTGGACAACAGTGGTGATGAAAACGAAGATAACGAACCGCTGATAAATCTCCTGAGTAAAGGAGGCGTTGATTCGCTCGATGAAAAATGTGCTAAAAGCTCTACAAGTCGTCGAACGAGATGGTATGTAGATGCCCTATGGCAATATTTTTCCGGATGATTGACATATGTATTGTTAACGCATATATTCTACACCAAAGCTATAGAGACAATCCAACAATACCAGAGAAATCATCATTTGCAAAACAGTTAGCCAAACAATTAGTTGAAGAACACATGAAAAGACGAGCAGCCAACAAACACATATCTCGAGAAGTAAGGGACAATATTCGTCGTATTATTGGAATTCCTGAAAACCACGACCAAGTAGATTCTAATCAAGGTGTACTAGAAAAGAGAAAATTATGTTATTTATGTCCAAGAAAGAAAAACCGTATGACAAAACATCTCTGCTTTGAATGCAAAAGACCTGTATGTCTACAATGAACGAAATCCATCTGCGTAAACTGCACTGAAAAAGTTTAACCTTTACATTGTGCTAAAATATTTTAGATTTAAGTTTTCGTTATACGCTACTTTTTTGTAGCTTTGTTATTGTATTCTTTAAAATGTTTAATGTAATAAATACATTAAAACTATAACAAAGCCAATTTTTTACTCAAAAACATGACCGACCCCAATTTGAAGCATACTTAAAAACAAATCGCTTTATCATCATCATAAATTTGGTAAGTATTTTAAGTAATTACTCAGTAATGTAATTCTTAATACTTTAAACAATATCTAGAAATACTGGTTATAAAATATAGAGTGTGTCCGTAAAGTAACGGATATAGGCTATAAAATCATAATAAACGGTTTATAGAAAAATCCCTGAAACGGGTCTAAAGATTTAAATTTTTTGCAATTGTTTGGTGTAGAATTTAAATTTTTTCCGCCATTTTTAAGTGAGTTATGGCGTCATCGGTATTTTTTTCAAATGGCAATCCCCCATTTTTATCACGGAATATGAAAGAAGATTTTTTCTGAATCTAGTACAGTTAATATTAATGTTGCTTACATAAGAAAATTTTTGAGAAAAATTACTTTAAAATTTAATTACAGGTAAACGTCGTTTTGCGCCGGTTCGATTTACGCCGATTCACAATTACGCCGGTTGGCGCCGGCGTAGGATTCCCCAGGAGATTCACTCAGGAGATTTTCACAGACTGGTATAAAAATTATTTTTGCCCTACTGTGCTTAAATTTTTTGACCGAAATAACCTTCCAAAGAAAGCAATCCTCCTACTAGACAGTGCCTTTGGACATCCGCAAAATCTTGACACCTTAGACATGGGATTGAACGTCAAGGTAACTTACATGCCCCCTAACACAACCTTCGTTTTACAACCCACGGATCAGGGGGTAATTTCTACCTTTAAAGCGTATTATTTGCGCATAACATTAAAAGCAATGATTAAGGCGATAGATACTAATTCCAAAAGGGACCGTTAAAGATTATTGGCGATCATACGACATTTTAAAAGGAATAAAAAATCTAAAGTCTGCTTGGGACGAAGTGACAAACAAATGTTTAAACGGCGTTTGGCGTAAACTTCTGCCTGGATTTATACAAGGTGCAAGTGTAGAAGTGGTAAATAATAACATAAACGAAGACATTATCAGGCTTACACGCTAATGTGAATCCGAAGACGTAACAACTGAAGATGTGACCGAACTGTTAGACGTGCATGATCAACCACTCTCAAATCAAGAATTAGCAGAGTTGATCGAGGCATATGATCGCCCTCAATCAGAAAATCCCGAAGAAGAAGAGGAGGATAAGAAACAAAATGATAGGAGAATCCTAAAAACGGACGATCTAACTCGTATCCTTTCCTCTATAGAAAGGTTAACAGGTGAGTAACTCTGTGAGATAGATGGGGATTACAATTGAAGCGCAAATGTTAAAAGAAGTCACAGGTGCCATTCGACCTTATGGTATGATTCTGCAAGAAAGGAAGCAACAATCAAAGCAAATGAAATTGGATGCTTTTTCAAAAAAGTGTGAGACTTTAATTTAGTACCGACGAACTAGTGAGTTAGTATTTATTTCAAAAACTTCATTATTTGTATCAAGAGATTATAATTTATTTTGAATATACTATATAGGATATGTATTAAATAAACATGTTAGATTGTTCTTAGAATTTTGACATGGAACCTAACCTTATATCATCCATTATATTTGTGTTCATTTTACGCCGATTTTGTTTACGCCAGTGTCTCTCGGAACGGAACCCCGGCGTAAAACGACGTTTACCTGTACTTCAAATTTGTATAAATCATAAAAATAGCAGTAGCCATGAGTAACTATGGTAACCAATTATTCTAAACAATTCCCTGAATGTCAAAAACTGATTTAGTAAAGCGTCTTGAAGTGTGGTGGCGCGCCATCTTGTTGGAGTAACTGCCGTTGGAATTGAGTTGTGTCAACATTATGGGGATGGAAGGAATGACATCGCTTTGAAAAAATTTAAACATCTCTTTCCACTTAAGATTTCCTCAAATCTTTTGCGGATATTGGGTGTGCGACTTTCTTGAGTAATTTCGATATTGGGTAGCGCAATACCGACAACTTTGTCTGTTTACTTATCCATTCAATGTAAATGTCCCTTCGTCGAAAAAATTATGTTTTTGACAAAGTCTTCGTCATCGTTGCAAAATTGTTGTTGCAAAAACTACGATTCATTGCTCGTGAATCAGGTTTACTTTATGGGAATGATATTTTGCGGGTTTTAAAATTTTATGAACCGTTGATTTATTAATGTCGAAATTAGACCCAATACTTCTTACAGTAACATGAGGGTTTTCTTACCCAGCCAAAACTACGATTTGTTGAACTTCCCTTGCAACATTTAGTAGGCCAGACTTCGAGAGATGGCCATACTATTTAAATTTAGTCACAGCTAGGCTCACCATACTTTGGCTAATGAGTTGGCGATCAGGATATGTTGTATTAAAGAAGTCAACTACTTACTAAATGAGTTTTTGACACTTAGGAAATTGTTTAAAATAATTGGTTACCATAGTTACTCATGGCTATGAGTATGCTATTTTCATCACGTCAACAAATCTGAAGTAGTTAAACTTTAAAGTAATTTTTCTCGAAAATTTTCTTATGTAAGCAATATTAATAGTGACTGTATTAGATTCAGAAAAAAATCTTTCATATTCCGAAATAAAAATGGGGGATTGCCATTTGAAAAAAATGCCGATGAAGTCATAACTCGCTTAAAAATGGCGGAAGAAATTTAAAATCTACACCAAAGAATTGCAAAAAATTTAAATCTTTAGACCCGTTTCAGGGATTTTTTCCATAAACCGTTTATAATGATTTTATCGCCTATATCCGTTATTTTAAGGACACACTGTATATAAGTATTTTTGGAGTTTATTACTCAAAATCGGTAGTAGTCTGCCAGACGGCATTTCAGGGTTTATGTTCCGCATATCGCACCTCCGGAGTGTTATATAATTTATTGTATGATATGTTTCAATATTTAATTGTACATTTACTGAAATAAATATCTTCTCTCTTTATCAAATAATGCTTCCACAGAAACATGTTTGGACTAATCTTATCGCTGCAGAAACTCAGAATGCTAAAGTTGTACATTGTTGTCCACAATTTTTGCCATTATGAGCCAAAATAGAGATAAATAAGAAAATGATCTATAAAGTCTGTAAAATCTTATTATAATAGACAATTGGTACCAACACGCCTTTCTCAATTCGTCCGAAACACCTCAAGATGCTCTCATGCAGGAAGAAGAATACTTCACACTTCTTAACAGAGGAACCAACACAGCCCCTGGATATGACAACATCTCAAGGGAAATCTTAAGGAAGCTGGATCTTGATATCCACGCCTACATAAGAAAAATTTACAACTATTGCCTTACCACCCTGCATTTCCTACAAGATTGGAAGACCTCTATTATCATATGCATCCCCAAGAAAGATTCTTCTCTATCCGACCCTGCGAACTACCGTCCTATCTCATTGCTACCCGTAATGGGGAAGCTTTTCGAAGTACACTTGAAGAACAAGCTGCTCGATGTTGTTGCAAGGAGGATTCCGTCATACCAATTTGGATTCCAACAAGGTAGATCTACATCTCTACATCTCAAACTTCCAAGTCGCACGTTACCAAAAACAACAATCCGCCGCAGTCTTCCTGGATGTTCGGAAGGCATTCGACTCCGTATGGCACAGAGGTCTACTGTACAAGCTAGCTATGTTGAAAATCCCATCTTATCTCCTTAACCTGCTAAAAAAATTTCTTTCAGACCGCCCCTCATTGGTTGAAGTGAAGAACTACTACTCTCACAGTTTCACCGCTCAACAAGGTCTCCCTCAAGGCTCTCCCATCTCGCCAGCACTGTACAACGTCTACTGCCATGACATCTACAACGACAACCCAGACGTCTTCGATCCGATGTCTTACGCCCTACTTTATGCCGATGATACTACTCTCGTCGCACATGATGTAGACATTCCATCATCAATCCTAAGGCTGCAGACGCTCATCCAAAACATAGAGGAATGGTACCGAAAATGGCGTATCCTGATAAATCCTTCCAAAACCCAATTCTTCATCCCCTTCCTCCCTATTCGCGTTGCTCCTCCCACAATAATAATTCAATCTTCTCCTATCACAGCATCACCAACTTGTAACTACCTCGGCATTACCTTGGATAGAACCCTTAAATTCTCTACCCACGCCATCAAGGTAAAAATGAAAGTCAAAAACCGCGCCAAACACTTCCGCTCACTCTCATATAGAGGCCGAGGGATATCCACCAAATGCGCTACTCACATATACACCTCAATATGCCGACCTATTATCGAATATGCCTCATTAATCATGACTGAAGCGCCGAGAGGATCACAGTACCATCTGGAAGTAGCAGAGAGAGCAGCCCTGAGAATTATCACTCGCATTAGACACCCTCACAACCCACTTTTCAACCCTTCCAACGAACTCCTGTACGACCTTACAAAGATTCCTCCTATAAACTCCCGTCTACAATCCTTATCCCTTAAAGCAACTATGAACTTCCCCAAAAACGCCCTAAAAAATTTCATCATCACTCCCCTCTCCCTTACCCGCTGTCCCATAACACGGCTCACACTTCTTAAAAAAATAAGGCCCAACTGAGAAGACCCAAGTACAACCAAACCAAACTCAAAATCACGGGCAGGAAGACTAAGGTCTATAGCCCTTTTGGACTCTTTTTTTATATTTATTTTATTTTATATATGTATTTCTTTTCGTATTTCTTATTGTTATAATTTTGATATAAGTCCAAATAAATATTGTTTTCTTCTCTTCTTATTTAATTAATTCTTCCCACTAAGCACTGAACCACAAGATATACCCCGGAAGTGCAACAGATTGTTCAACACTTCTGGAAACAATGGCAAAAAAATATTTGGCGGAGTTACAATCAAGAAAGAAATGGGGCAAGTCTCTATTACAAATAAAATTTATCGGTGGCTATTTGGTTATCATCATATTTAAAAAAAATACGCCCATTTTGCTGTTGAGTGTCTTGAAATAACTTAAAATAGAAACTGTTACGAATTATTAAGTGTTTTTATCGATTATAAAGTATTTTTGAGTTTTAACCGATTTTAGACGATGATGAACTATTATAATATGAGTCATAATGATTTTTTAACGATTTAAACCTAATTATAACTACCTACAGCAATTTTTGGTTTAAAATTAAATAAAATTTTCCACATTAATCACTTGCAAATAAAATCTAATAATACGAAACAAAAATTAGATATAATTTAGTAGAAAGCTTGAACCATGAACCAATTTCATTTTTTATGCTTTTCGCTTACATCACAATAAACACGCACTTCAAAATTGGTATGAAATGATATTACACTATTTCTATTTATCATTTTCTTGTTATTGCGGCTTTTACAAAAAAAAATTTTTTTTCTTGAAAACTTTTTAGTTTTTTTTTGTTTAATATAAATAAACATCGTTTTGTAAACATGCGTCAACCACAAATTGCTTTTATTGATATTAATCAATGTTGACAAATAAAGTAATAAAAACAATAATTTCGAAGAAAGAAAATTTTTAAAAAGCCTTTTGGTATTATAGACAAATTAAATTTTATTTTAATAATATTAGCATCATAAAAATTGCACAACTTAATTTGAACCAGACCAAATTTATTTTAATGTACCTGCGTATAAACGTAAGTACCTAGCACTCGCCAAAATAATTTATTATTAATAACAAAACGTGTTTATTTACGATACTCAAAAATATTTCGATTGTGATGATTTCGATTTTAATCTTAAGTGTTGCAATTAATAATATGAATTGTATAGAATGCAACAAAGATGTGTGTGGGTATGCGTGTGTAGATATTATAAAACGTGCTGATCGTGTGCGTTACAAACCACAACGACCAACTACTGCTTCGCGTTAAGTACTGTTTAAGTATAGACTTTTCAAAGTTATTACCTCATTTATTTTTACTCTTTTGATTTATTTCAATTAGACCTAAATTACTGTACAATTTCCTTTTTTCATTTTAAATTTGGTGAATAGTTGTGTTAAATCGTTTCATGTAGTTTGATTTACTACAAAATTTGAAATAATATGCACGTAATTTCGCGAGTTGTTAATTCGTTCGGACGAAATGTTACAAGAAGATCATCCGGGGTGCTTTTTAATTCAAAATGTTTTTCAAATACAACTTTTAATCAAGATGAACAATTTATAAAGTCTCCTTTGGGTGATGTTGAAATTCCAAATGTTAATTTAGCGGAGTACTTATTGAATCACATTGGAAAGTTTCCTACAAAAATTGCAACGGTTTGTAAAATTTTTTTGTTAAAGCTTTTTAAATCCTAGTTATTTTTTGAATTAATCTAAAAGTTAGCGAAAAATTAGTTTGTATGAAATGTTCAAGGTTCACTTTGAGCCCAAAGTGCACGCTTTTATTGGCGACGTTATAAAAAGAAAAAAAGAAGGAACTTAACCGGAATGCAGTCGCATTAAAGTGCAACGTTCGTTGACTTTAATCGTTTCCTATTAAACTTTTATATCGATTGTTCGGATTGAATTGAATTCGTTTAATCTTTCAATCGATTCATAAATGTATTGAATTGTATAACAAGTTGATTGAAATAATCAAAAAGTGCATTGAAATGAATACGTAATTGCAGTAAAGTTACAAAACTAAAATTGGAACTAACTCTGCTTTTGCATTTTGTCACTAGAACTAACACTAGACCTAGAACTAGAATCATTCGGGTTTAGCCGTCTTAAGAGACGTGCGGCTAAATCCGAATGTTTCTAGTTCTAGTGGTAGTTCTGTTTTTGCATTAGCACTGTCACTAGAACTAAAACTAGACCTAGAACTAGAATCATTCGGGTTTAGCCGCACGTCTCTTAAGACGGCTAAACCCGAATGATTCTAGTTCTAGGTCTAGTGGTAATTCTGTTTTTGCATTAGCGCTGTCACTAGAACTAAAACTGGACATAGAACTAGAATCATTCGGGTTTAGCCGCACGTCTCTTAAGACGGCTAAACCCGAATGATTCTAGTTCTAGGTTTAGTGGTAATTCTGTTTTTGCATTAGCACTGTCACTAGAACTAAAACTAGACCTAGAACTAGAACCATTCGGGTTTAGCCGTCTTAAGAGACGTGCGGCTAAACCCGAATGTTTCTAGTTCTAGGTCTAGTTTTAGTTCTGTTTTTGCATTAGTACTGTCACTAGAACTAAAACTGGACATAGAACTAGAACCATTTGGGTTTAGCCGTCTTAAGAGACGTGCGGCTAAACCCGAATGTTTCTAGTTCTAGGTCTAGTTTTAGTTCTGTTTTTGCATTAGCCCTGTCACTAGAACTAAAACTGGACATAGAACTAGAATCATTCGGGTTTAGCCGTCTTAAGAGACGTGCGGCTAAACCCGAATGTTTCTAGTTCTAGGTCTAGTTTTAGTTCTGTTTTAGCATTAGCACTGTCACTAGAACTAAAACTGGACATAGAACTAGAATCATTCGGGTTTAGCCGCACGTCTCTTAAGGCGGCTAAACCCGAAAGTTTCTAATTCTAGGTCTAGTGTTACTTCTAGATTTAGTTCAATGAAAAATATACAACAATCTAAAACTGAATAAGAACTAAATCTAGAACTAACACTAGCAGTAAAACTAAAACTAGACCTAGAACTAGAATCATCAGAATGAATGTTTNTGAGTTATAAACGATAAAATACCCAAATCTCCAAATTGATGTTTTTGGATAAGAATTCTTGTTATAATTCAAAAACAATAAATGCTAGGAAAAAAAAGTTTGGCTGAAAATTGTTTACAATAAGCTAATAAAACATTACCCGCAAGCAGTAATAACCCAATCATAATTATTATCAACGTAACGAATTTAAAATCCGAAACTGTTCAAATTTGATACATTTAGCAACAAAATGGTTTTTATCTCAAGAATTAAAAGTTGTGGATGTAAATATTATTAATAAAAATTGTTTATAATACATCGCAAATACATTATTCATAAGCGATTTTCTTTTAACTATTTCGCATTTTCAGTTATAAACGATAAAATATCCAAATCTACAAATTGATGTTTTTGGATAAGAATTCTTGTTATAATTCCAAAACNAACCCGAAAGTTTCTAATTCTAGGTCTAGTGTTACTTCTAGATTTAGTTCAATGAAAAATATACAACAATCTAAAACTGAATAAGAACTAAATCTAGAACTAACACTAGCAGTAAAACTAAAACTAGACCTAGAACTAGAATCATCAGAATGAATGTTTCGAATGTTTCTAGTTCTAGGTCTAGTGTTAGTTCTACTTTTACTTCAATAAAGCACAAATAGGAAGTTTTATTTTATGTTATCTGTAAAATTAAATAGAAAAACCTTGAAGTTGTTTAAATTAAAGTTTTATGGCAAAAATAGTTTACTTTAAGTTTTCGAAACTCATTATTCATCATAATTTTTTTTTATTTCAGCAATGTAGTTTCACCGAAAGAAAATACACGTACGATAATTTATTAATGAAATCATCAAATCTTAGTAAATCGCTTAGAAAGAAATTAAATCTACAAAAAGGAGACGTAGTGGCCATCTTATTACCGAACATCCCCGAGTTTCCCATTTGTATCTTAGGACCATTATTAGCTGGGTTAAAAATAACAACCATTAATCCCTCTTATACATCAGGTAAATAAATACATTATCTTTCTTTGTATTTATTAATTAAAAATTATTATTTGTAGAAGAAATAAAAAGGCAATTAAATGATAGTAATGCAAAAGTATTATTTACTTTAGTTGATTTTTGGGGAAAAGCCCAAGAAGCTGTTAAAAAATCGTTAAGTAACATTAAAATAATAACGATAAAAACAAAGGTGAGTTTTTGTACAAAGTTGCAAGGATAATATCTCTCGTTATCTTTTTTTACAAACCGCAAATTCACACGTGTGCATGCATACATCGTTGGTTATAAACACATGGAGTATCATTGCAGAAAGAAAAACGTGGGTTGCAGCTGCATTTAATTAAAAAGGCCTTGTTTTTAATTTACCGTCACAACACACCTCGGCGAATATTATAATTTGCTTTCAACAAATAAATATTAATCATAAACACAAATCCCAGTTATCTATAAAAATATTTAGTTATCTTGGTACTCACAAATAATAACGATTGATCAATTAATCTAAATTAAAACTAAACAAATTTATATTTATTATTCCTTATTTTTTTAGCAAAACCAATCAACACCAAGCGGGTCGATTAATTTTCAAGAATTTACAACAGAAAAATGTGATTTACCTGAAATTATTTTATCATCACCCGATGAAACGGTTTTTATGCCTTATTCAAGTGGAACGACGGGACTTCCTAAAGGTGTTGAGTTATCTAGCAAAAATATAATTTCGAATATTTGCCAATTTAATCATCCTGAACTTTGTATATCTCAAATTGCAACAGGTAATTCAATATAACAAAATAATTTATCTATGTGAAGTTAGGACAGATATTTTGATTATAACAAGAGAACTTCTCAACCGATTTTGATGAATAATATCTCAATCGAAAGCTCAATTATTGGACACTATAAAGTGGAAATACCGAAAACTCCTTTAAATTCCGCTAACTCAAAGATATTGTGATGGTACATGGAAATCACATAAAAATGACATATTAATAACTTATTACTTAGTACTCTACCAATCACAGGAATTAGTATCTCTTTTAGGTGTTGGACACTGCAGATAATAATCAAGTTCAACCCCAATAGGACTTTTTTCGTTTAATACAACTTTATTTATATCAAGATTGTCATTAGCAACCTCATTGTTAGAATCCCAATACGATATATAAAATCTCTTGTTGCAGTTTCGTCTAGTTTTCTTCTCTTCGCTTGTGATGAATTAACAGAACTGTCGATGCTATCACTTTCGATTATTAATTAAAGTATTCTCTTCTTAATGCAAAAAGCCGTTTTGTAAAATCACTATCAGTTCTTGAGAAATAAATTTTTGAAATGATCGACAATTTAGCCGATTAAGTTTTAAAAATTTGTATAAAATCCATTTCTTGGAATATGAGTTTGAAAATTTCCCAATGTGTTAATAAAAGTGTCCTCTTTCCAATGAACCAACCCGTTTTGAAAAATAACTTTTAGTTTTTGAGAAAACAATATTTGAAGTTTTGATAAAATTTTCGATGTT